ATCATGTTTGAAGGCAAGTGCCTTTCCCTGATGAGTCATCTCACCAGCATTTCTGGAATCATAATCATTTAAAAAAATAGATGCTACAAATCCAGTTTGCCTTCTCCTGTTGCCACTTGGGTCCAACAAGAAAAGCAGCTTCTCATTCTGGCAGGGTTTTCAGACTATTAAGTTTGACTCAAGAGACAGGGTGAAAAGGGAGCAGTTTAATGTCAATCATGCCACGGCGCTCTCAAGAGCATCTCTTTGGTCTGTTATCTTTGGTTTAAGAGAAGAAATTTGGTACAACTGAAATTAAGATGTATCCTAAGGTCTATGCCACTGGATATTGAATATCTTCCAAAGAAAGGTCTGTTTTGTTAAAGGCTTCGATCCTCAAAGTTGTAATATAGAAGTGCTTCCCAACCTGTGGGTCTAGACCCTTGGGGTGTCAAATGACAGAAAGCTGATTAACAATGTGGGGCATAAAAACTTTTCCATTAGCAGTTTTATTACTATATAATTCACATGACATACAATTCACCTATTTAAATAGTCTACTAAATAATTCTTAGTAGATGTGCAGCTCTGTAGCTATCACTACAATTTTAGAACTTCCATCACCCCAAAAGAAATCCTATACCTTTTACTGGTTACTTGTTTTCCACTCAGTCTTAGCAGCTGCTGGCCTCTTTTAATCTACTTTTCTCTTTTTATAGATTTGCCTATTTTGGACATTTCCCACTCATAGAATCACACAATTCATTTTTTTTTGAGACAGGCATCTTTCATTTAGTGTATTTTTAATGTTCATGCACTTTGTGGGGCTTATCAGTGCATTCCTTTTATGGCTGAACGCTATTTCATTTCATAAATATGCTAATTTTTGTTAGCTTTTTTTTTTCTTTTATTAGACAGGGTCTTATTATGTAGCTCTGGCTTGCCTGGAGCTTGCTATGTAAACCAAGTTATCCTAAAACTCAGAGATTTGCCTGCCTCTGCCCCCACCCCCAGTGCTGGGAAGGTGTATACTATCATGCCCAGCATCGTTGGCTTTAAAATTGTTTTTAATTAAGTGTATGTGTGAGGGGAAGTATGTGCATGAGTAAGTTGCCCTTGAGGTCAGAAGACGTTGTCAAAGTCTTCATAACCAGAGATGCAAGCAGTTGTGAGTTGATAAGGGGGCTGGGAAATTAACTCGTGTTTTCTGCAAGGACACCATGTGCTCTTGGTTTGTTTTGGTTTTTCAAGACAGGCAGGGTTTCTCTGTGGTTTTGGAGTCTGTCTTGGAACTAGCTCTTGTGGACCACGCTGATCTCAAACTCACAGAAATCTGCCTGCATCTGTCTCCCGAGTGCTGGGACCAAAGGTGTGCACCACCACCACCCAGCTTCTGTCATCATGCTTGCTTATATTTTTAAACTATTTTTGGCTATATATACAGATATAAAGAAAATAAAAATCATCCATGATTCTATTATCTAAAGGTATCCACTATTAACACGAGTGTCTTTTTTTGTTCTGGATATAATCTATGAATACATACTTGGCAAATAGAATTTTACTTTATGTGACACACAGAGAACAATTTGTGGGGGTTGATTCTCTTCTACTATGTGGGTTCCAGGGATCTGATTCACATCATTAGATTTGGCAGTGAGCAAGCACATTTATGTGAGCCATCCTCTTAGTTCCAAAGTATATTCTTGTGTGTTCATTTGTTTTTGTGATTCTGGGGATAGAGGCCTATAAAGACCCCAGATTCTATCTAGGTGTTTGTTTGTTTTAATGATTCAGTGTTCTTATCCAAACTTTAGTGGTTTTGCTGTTTTTTTGAGACAGGGTCTCACTATGTAGCCATAGTTGTCCTGGAACTCACAAAGATCTGCCTGCCTTTGCCTCCTGAGTGTTGGTGGCAGACTTTTCCTGGGAAGACATGAACAAATCTCTCTTCACCCGAAATAGGGAATCAATGACAGATCAAAGCATGCTACCACCCAAGTCCAACTTGTCAAACCAATGTTTCATTGTGGTTACTTCTTAGAGGAGCTTAAATGACTCAGAGACAGCTGTTACTAAAGACCCCTCATGTGTGACAACTTGGAAAGTTGGAAACCTAGAGCACACTGATGTGGAATGTTCCTTTACACTGTGTGAAGATGTGTCACTGTAGTTAGTTTAATAAAAAGTTAAATGGCCGATAGCTAGGCAGGAAGCAGAGGAGGAGCTTCTCTACAGAGAGCTCTGGGAAGAGGAAAGGGTTGCCAGTGAGACGGGCAGTAGAGAGTAAAGGTAACGGAGCCACATGAAAGAATGTAGATTAAAAGACATGGATGGGTTAATTTAAGTTATAAGAGCTAATGGGAGGCAGAGGCAGGCAGATCTCTGTGAGTTCAAGGCCAGCCTAGTCTACAGACTGAGTCCTAGGACAGCTAGGTCTGTTTCCACAAAGAAACCCTGTCTCAAAAAACAAAACAAAACAACAACATAAAGAGAACTAATGGGACAAGCCTAAGTTAAGGCCAAGTTTTCATAATTAGTAATAAGTCTCCATGTTTTTTGTGTGAACTGGCAGCCTGATGAAAAATCCATCTATAGTACACTGCCCCCTGCAGGCAACTCAACAGGTTGCAGAGTCCTTTCCAAGTGGTTCAGTTGGTTTGAGCCTCTTCTATGCAGTTCACAGGTCTCTTCTTCCAGGCAGCTGGGGTCATCTGAAACTGACTCTCAGAAATCTTTACTCTTTATACACTCTTAGGGGAGAGAGTGTCTAGTGAATCTAGTCAGTTTCAGGGACTTCCTGAAACTTTTTGTTCCTCAAGACAGGGTTTCTCTGTGTAGCCTTAGCTGTCCTGGAACTTGCTCTGTAGAGCAGGCTGGCCTCAAACTCACAGAGATCCGCCTGCCTCTACCTCCCGAGTGCTGGGATTAAAGGAGTATAACATCAAGCCCAACAGGTGGCTCGTGGTGTGTGTGTGTGTGTTTGTGTGCACGCACACTTATGCATGTGTGTTTTAAAATAAACAAGGTAACTTATCATGTCATTTAAGTTGGAATGCACAATTGAAGGCAATTTATACTATGGTCCATGTTCTACTGGTAGAATGATGGTGTCCCTTTCGAAACTCATATTGAAATTTAGTCTCTCATGTAATACTATTAAACTATGGCCCAAGAATGAGATTGGCACCCTAACAGAGTTCAGTATTGAAGGAACATTCTTGCTCTTCTGTCTGGATAAGACAGCACATCCTTCAACCCTGGAGATGTAACAAGAAGATGGGCATCGTGGAAAGAGAAAGCAGCACTCGCCAATATCAGCACAACCACCTTGACATTTTCAGAATCCAGAACCATGAGAAATAAATTTGTTATTTAGAAATTACCAAGTCACAAGATACTTTATAGCATCATAAATGGACTAAGCTTTACCTCATTTTCAAATTGATGAACACACCCAAGCCCCAAGAAGGACCAGTTTATTCCACCTGTTAGAGACAGGCTGGTCAGAAAGTGTTCAGAAAGTTCAGGAGTAGTCAGACGAACTCACAAGGCAAGGTTACTTTGTTTAAATTAAATTGGCCTTTTGCTTTCTGCACACCTCCTCACCCAGTCACCCTAGGCCCAGAGCTGTTGTCACTGGAGATGCTTCCTCTTCCTCTCCCCAATTCTTCTCTTCCCTCACCTCTTGAGAGGTGGGTTCCATCCTGCCCCTCCCTCCACCCCACATTCTGTGGTTGGTACTATTTTAAGTGGTGGCAGTAGCAGCTAATCTAACTGCAGGGCGAAGGAGCCATTATAAGGTCTTTCGACTTATGTATTAAGACAAATGTTTTTGCTCTGCATTTTACAGCTGAGAATTTGAACCACAAGAGTTAAGCTTGCCTGGAATGATACAAATAGCAGCCTCAACTTCTACCGCCAGTAGAGCCGACACCTGCTGCCCTTTTCCTGACCCAGAAGTCGTCCTTTATTCATGCTCCCAGGTTCTCATTTTGTCTTTCTCCAACCTGTGTCTCACACTGTTCTAGAACATAAATGAAAACCTGCCATTCCTACTACTAAAAGCCACTCTATTGCTCTTAGCAGGGCAGGCCTCTGTCTGGATCTGTTCTAATCTCAATGCACGTCTTTTAACTTTTTAGTTCTTGGAATTCACCCATCCACCAACTTTTCCTTTTAAAAGCTTAACTGCTCGATTCTCCGACCATCCCCTCCTGACAAAGTCTTGGAGAAAAAAACCCGGGAGAGGGAGATCGACCACGCTCGTTAAAGGAATTGTTGAAAAGCAACCATGGTTTAACACTGTAAAGTGTTACAGATGGGAGCTGTGAAATCTTCCCCTGGGCTTCTTTCAGTACGGGGAGGAATTCTCATCCAGTTTCATTACATTTGGCTAGTGTCTCTTGTATCTCCACCAAGCATCCTTAGTCACTGTGAGGCTCCCAGCTCACTACCGGCCTCGGGTGGAACGCATCACAGAAACAACGCAGGACAGTTCGCTGGCCGTCGTCGGCCTACGCCAACTTGGTGACCTCTCAAGGTCTCATCCCGGCCGCTCGCAGCTCGCAGCTCGCGCTCCGGCCAGGACCCCGCGCCTGTGTCCTGCAGGCGAAGCGGACGCCGCGGCCTGGGCTCTTGGGGGTGGGGGGTGAAGGGAGGCACGGAGGCGCCCGCGCAGCGCGGTTCGGGGAGCCGAGCACACGTTACTTCGGGCAGAGCCCCCTCCGTGCAAAGCGACCAGGAACCCAGGTCTGGTCCGCCGCGCCACCCGCCCGGGCCTCCCTCCCGCTCCCCTCATAAACAAACAGCCTGCAGTTCCCGCAGCCGCAGCGCGGGCCGCGCGCCGGGAGCGAGCGCAGGCGAGGGGGGTGGCGCGGGCGGGCGGGCGGGCGCATCGGGGCTGGCGCCGGCCCCCCCCCCCCGGCCCCACCGGGCCTGTCGGCGCGGCCTCCCCTGCCCTCCTGCAAGCCCGGCCCGGGGTGGAGGCGCAGCCCCGGAGGGCCCCGGAGGGCAGGATCGGGCGGAGCCGGGCGGCCAGGCGGGAGCAGGCGCCACGGGCCGCGAGCTCCTCATTCGAACCTCCCTCGCAGACAGTCTCCGCCCCACAATGCACCGGGGCGGGCAGCCTTTGAAAAAGCGGCGCGGCTCGTTCAAGATGGCGGAGCTCGACCAGTTGCCTGACGAGAGTAAGTAGCGTCTCGGAGCAGCCCTCCTTCCCGCCGGCTGCCTGTCTCGAGGTCGCACCGGCCGAGTCCGGTTGCCGGGCAGGTGGGATGGCTGCCAGCCCACCGCGGTCCCCGGTCTTCCTGCTCAGGCGCTGCCGCCGCGTCGCCGCCTTTGTTATGGTGTCTGTGTGTCTGTTTCTGGGCTTGTGTGAGCGCCAGCGCCGGAAACCGAAAGCCCGGGAGTCCAGCCTGCCCTGACGGAGTCGGCGGCTGCTCTCCCGGAGCGACTGCGGTCCCCGGCTGAGGTGGGCGAAGAGCGGCCCCCACTTGCGGGCGCCGTCCTCCCTGCCCGCCCGGTTATGTAACTCGCCGGTCGGGGGCCGGGAGGGCTCGGGCTGGCCACCTCGGACACAGCCCCTCCTCATGCCCGGGCCTCTGATCCGATCCTGTGACAGCTCCTGCTCCTGCAGGCACTTGTGGTCGCCCCCACCCCCCCTCCACCCCCGTGTCCCTCCTGGAAGTGTTTCCTTCCGTGTCACACTGGGTTGGCCCCTTCCCTTGGGACTACAGGTGGCCGTGGACCTTTCCGGAGATGATCCAGCTTGGCTACAGTGTTGAGGTAGCTCCATTCCCAGACTTCCTTCTTAGTGGAGTGTTTTAGGAAGAAGGGGTGTCTGCACACAAGGGTGTGAGCACCGCGGCGTACATGGATGTCACTCAGCCCGACACCCACTGCTGTGCATTGCCCTACTTAACCTTCTTTACTCACTCAGCCTCTAATAAAACAGGATGTTCACCTGTATGCAGTCAGGAAAAGCACCGATTCTGCAACCTAGGGTCAAGGCAACAATTTTGTAATTCTCATATTGCACAAACTATTAAAAAAGACATAGTTTAATTGCAAAATGGTCTTGAATCAGCACGCACTATGTGGTGTGTTATTTGTAGCACTTGGTCAGAGTATACTTCAGATTCTTGGGCGGGCATGGTGGCGCACACCTTTAATCCCAGCACTCTGGAGGCAGAGGCAGGTGGATTACAGAGCAAGTTCCAGGACTGCCAGGGATATACAAACAAACAAACCTGAGCAGTCTGTATTTGGAACGACTGTATTATTATTACTATTACTATTATTGTTTTTATAACGTAGGAGTATTTTGTTTTTAAACATTTGGAGTCCCCAACAGGAAGTCAGGACAGAGAAACCCTGTCTCAAAAAGATCCATCTCTGTTCACTGTCTCTGTGCACAAGGCGGACACACCTATAAAGGAGAGATTCGCGGTAGTCCTAATCCTGTTTTCTTTGAGGTCACATATTTCTTCATATATTGTTGTTAAAAGTTGAGGTTGCCAAGCTGATGAAGACTTGTATTCAAAGTGTTTGTGTGTTGGCCTTGCTTTAGACCAGAGCTGAGTGTCAAGAGAAATTTCTCAGTGATGGAATGTTCACGTTTCTGGTGTCCAGAAGGGTATCCACTGGGCACATGTGGATGTGGAGCACTCTGCATATGGCTAGAATGGCTGAGGTGCTGGTTTTTTGTATTTTTACTTAATCTTGGCTTATGTAACTGGTGGTTACTATATGGATAGAGCATATCTATATACCATCTATGAGTTTTATTGTTATTGTTTGGAGAATTTGGTTGGTTGTTACTTAGGATGCTTGCAAATAAAGATAAGCCTACTAAGCAGAATGTCACCTGCCATCTGAAGAAATTTTTCTAATCTGGGCACAGTGACATCTGTGTTAATCTCATACATGTGTCCTGAGACAAAAGAATAGCTCCAAGGTTGAGACCAGCCTGGGCTGTAATGTAAGACTTTTCATCCTCTGTGATGAGTATGTTCCCATGCCACGGTGTACCTTCTCAGGAGCTGTCTCACTTGCAGTCACACGTTTGTAGATGTGATTTGGTCAGCAGCCCCCCCCCCCCCAGAGCAGAGCCACTTTAATTTTTTGTCTCATGCCTGTTGTTGGGGTTAGTTCTCATAGCTTGATTTTTTTTTTTTTTTTTTTTTTTTTTGGCTTTTCCAGACATGGCTTCTCTGTATTGGCTTTGGAGCTCACTCTGTAGACCAAGCTGGCCTTGAACTCACAGAGATCCACCTGCCTCTGCCTCCCTAGTTCTGGGACTAAAGGTGAGTGCCACCAACACCTGGCTCTCATAGAAAAGCCAGGAGATTAGTAAAGTACACCTCTAGGTGTGTCTGTCAGCATACCTTCAGGAATAGTTTTATTACTGTTGTTCTTTATACAAACTTGAGGTTTATACTGAGGTCAGATATCAGCTACACTGTTAAATTAACTATGTATAACCTAATTGTTTATATTACCATGTAATGTCTCTGCTACTTTGGTTGGGGGAGAGGTGTGTGACAACTTTGTCAAAAGCAAGAATTGCATATTTGATTTGTTACACAATAACACAGACTTAAAAGACTTGACTAAAATGGAACTGAATGCAAAATATTATTAATTAGAGCATGTTGTTGGAAAGTGATATGAAAAACAGTTTGTGTTTTTAAACCCAGTTTAGTTAAGAGAGCTTTGTAGTGTATTAGTTAATAACCACTGTACCATCAATAATAAAAGCTATCATTTCCTGAGTACTTACTGGGACCAGGTGAAAAAAGAAAAGCTGGATATCTCTCCCCCCCCCTCTCTCTATATATATACATACATACATACACACACACACATATTTACTTGTGTATCTTTTGTTGTTTTTGCTTTCTGTTCATTTAATCTTTACTTCAGTTGATGTAAGTACATGATTTTTACATGTGGGGAAATCTTTGCTTGAAGCTTCTATTCTGAACTCTTGCTGTTTCACATCTCTTAGATATTGCAGAGGGATCACCAAACTTAAGAGATTCAGAATTTATCTTAAAATCCTACCCTAGCACATGTGTACCTCTAGTAGCTCCTGCCCTGATGATGATGAATGGCTACATTGTATATTCCTGTGACTGAGCAGAAACCTAGTTGTCTTTGGTGCTTTCTTCTCACTTTCTTATTTAAACATTCACTCAGTCTTGGAGCGATTACCTTCTGTATGTCTCAATTTTTACTTTTTACCACCACCTTGCCCAGGCTGTCATCATTTTAGTAACCTACTCCTTCCCCACATATGTATGGCAGAGGGATCCTTTCAGAGCAGAAATGTCTTCCTCCTATTATTTTGCATTTTAATCCTGAGGCAAGGTCTCCATATATATTATCTCTGGCTGGCCTGACTCAAATTGTAGACCATGCTGATCTTGAACTTGCAGTAGTTTTCCTACTTCTGCTTCCTGGTTGTTACAATTGCAGGTGTGTGCTATCATTCCCAGCCATCCTCTTGTTTAAAACCTTTTAGTGGCTAGCTCTAAGACCCCGTGATCATTTTGTACTTCTTGTTTCATTTCTAAGGTTTTTTTGTTTTATTTTGCTTGTTGTTGTTCTTTTTTGGTTTTTCAAAACAGGGTTTCTCTGTATTGTCTTGGCGCCTGTCCTGGCACTCACTCTATAGACCAGGCTGGCCTCGAACTCATAGACATCTGCCTGCCTCTGCCTCCTGAGTGCTGGTATCAAAGGTGTGCACCACCAGTGCCTGGCCCATCTCTGAGTTGACTGGGCTGTTTTCATTCCCTGTGCTGCCATGCTTCCTTTCCTTTGGGCCTTTGCATTTGCTGTTCTCTAGGCTGCTCTCCCCTTCTTTAGAGTACTATGTTGAGATTTTTAAAGTTATTTTTATTTATGTTTGTATGTGTATCTGCATATGGGTATGTGCATGTGTATTGGATGCTTGTAAAAGAAGCCAGAGGCATTGGATGCTCCTGGAGGTGGAGTTATAAGCATTTGTGGGCCACCCGGCATGGTTGCTAGGAACCCAACTCCAGTCCTCTGGAAGAGCAGAAAGTGGCTCTTAACTGCTGAGCCACCATCTCTCCAGTCCTCAGTTCAATTTTGTGGCTGTTGTTTGTCCTCTGGGACAGGTATGTCTTCTTGAAGTGTTTCCGTACCACAGTGTGACTTTTCAGGGGCTGTTTCACTTGTAGTCATACATTTGTTTGTGTGATTTTTGGTCAGCAGCCCAACAGAGCAGAGCTACTTACTGCTGTTTCTCATGCCTGCTGTGGTGGTTAATTCTGATAGCTTGATTGGATTGAGAAATGCCTAGATCACTGAAGTACCTGTACTGTGAGCGCTCCTTCGAAACCGTTAGATCATGAATCTCTGACCTTATAAATGGATTCATCCCTGGTGGATTCATATGATGGCGTTATTGGAGGTGGGGAAAGGTAGGAGGTGGGACCCAGTTGGAGAAAGTAGGTCAGGAGGGTCTGCCCATGGTAGTTATGTGTTACCCTAGCATCTTCCTGTCTTCCTTTCTCTCTTCTTCCTGGCCATCACATCGGCTGTCTGCTTTTCCATACTCTATACCATGATGATGTGAACAAACCCTCTGGAACCTTGAACAAAATAAATCGTCCCAACTTTGTTATTTAGTCAGATAGTCCTGTCACAGTAATTGAGAATAACTGGGAATACACCTGCATCCCCACCTCTAAGAACAATCCCTGCTTTCATCTTTCTGTTCAAGCCCCTGCTCCCAGTGCAGTTTTCTCCATCAGATACTCAATCTAAACTAATTTCTCAGGACTTTTTTTCCTTCTGCTTGGCCTCCCATGTTGTGACCTGCTTTTGAGGGTGGGCGGGGGTTCTTTTTGTTTTTATGACTAGTTCTTTTCAGATGTTACCTCCTTGGTGGAAGCTTTCCCTAACTCCTGTTTATGTTCTTTATACTAACTGTCATGAAGTTTAATTGCTGTTTTATGTAGTTATTTGTTGTATGTCTCTTTCCACTAGAATACAAACTCAGAATGGAGGCTTTGGTGGTGGCCTCAACTCTCAAACTGCTTATGCCAAGCATTCGGTAAATACTGGTTGAATATTGAATAAATGGAACTGGTTAGAACAGGATTCTAACATAACCAGATATTTTTAAACTGATGGGTAATTTGGTCAGTGATGTAATGTGAGCCCATCTGAAAATTGGCCATGTGTTGTATACATTGTTCTAAACACTCATGCTTATATTTACGTGTTTGTTCTGTTTTACACATGAAGAAGCAACAGCACAGTGAGTTGAGATAATTCATGGAAAATAATGTAGCAAGGAAGTGACAGAGCCAAGATCTACACAGTAGGCAGCCTCAGTGTTCTAGAACTTAGGCTTTCTTCTTAAGAGATATGTTTACTTATTTTCTGGACAGGGTTCCTCTGGGCAGCCCTAGCTGTCCTGAAACTCAATCCGTAGACCAGGCTGGCTTTGAATTCACAGACAGCCACCTGCCTCTGCCTCCCAAGTGCTGGGATTGAAGTGTGTGGTGGTGGTGGGGGGGTGGTATATGCATTTCAGTGTAGGTGCTCACAGAGTCGGGAGGTTTCAGACCCCTGTAGAGCTGGAGTCACAGATGATTAAGAGCTGTCCAACACAGGTGTGGGAACTGAACTAGGTTCCTCTGCAGGAGCAAAGCAGACTCTTGGCTGCACAGCCATCTCTCCTGTTGTTGCTATACTGCCTCAGTACAAGGTAAAAGTCAGAATCCTCAAGCTATGATTCCCTTTTTTGTGGGATAGAAAGGGATACCCTTGTGACTTGTACCTTTTTCTCAGAACCTTTTTCCAGGACCCTTTCAAAGAAGCTAATTCATAAAAATAGTTTGTGCACCCACACTCCTCTCTGTCATCTGCTTCACTTTTTCCATAGCTCATCACCACCCGGCTTGTGCTTGTTTGTTTGTCCCCCCTAAGTGAAGCAGGAGCTCCAGCAGGAAGGGACTTTGACTTATTATTCCCTTCCTGAGTTGTCTCTAGTGCCCCAGCAGGAGCTACCACTCAGACAGCATGTAGTATATACCCGTGTTTTCCTGCAGTGAACTGTATTCTCCTTGGTGTCTTGGTGACTATCTGTTCTGTCTACCTTACTGTTTCTTGATTGTATTTTATTTGAAGCTTCCTAGTAGAATTTTTATTTGTTTATTTTGTGTTACTAGGGATTGAACATAATAGGCAAATACTCAATCCAGCTGTATCCCCAGCCCTTTTAAGAAAATTTTATGGCTTTCTCCCCCTGCTCCCTTATCCATGATTAATGGCCTTTGAACATTAAACTTCAAAAAACTCTTTTCCCTATCGAATCTCCTATTTCTACCACTCATAGATCCTGCCTACACTGTTAACAGATCCTGAGTTTCTCACAGTGGGTTACCTGCCACAAGTCCCCTAAGGAGCTTTATTAATAATAGATTCTTCGTGTAGAGGGTGCTCCCTGGTTATTCTATTATGATTTTATATAGTGATTCCCTCTACATTTATGCTAGTCCTGTTTGGGTGTGCTGAACTCCATTTTCCTGTGTAGATCTTTAAGTATTGTACATACCTGCATTCTAGACTTTCAAGGGCTTATTTTTGGCTATGGATCATTTTTAATCTCTGTTTTCTCTATTCTACTACCTCTTCTGATTTTTGTTCTAGTAATGTGATTGTTCTTTCTCTTTTCCTCCGGTGCTAGAGCACTTTTGAATGAGGATGCAAAACTACTTCTGTCCTTACTCATTTTTCTCTCAGAATGATTTCCAAACTGCTGTCATAATTTCCACAGGCAGGCCAAGTCTCTGTAGTTCTTACCTTGAGTGCTAGGCTACTTATTCCTTTCCTTTCCCAGACAGGGTCAGGCTGTCCATCTGGGAACCACCATGGAGCCCAGGTTTGCCTTGAACCCATGACTGTCTCTCCCTGCCTTTTATGTGCTAGGACTTTAGACATAAGCCACCATGCACAGCTCTGCATTTACTTTGCATATTCAACCATCATGTCGAGTTCAAAATGGCTCAAACCAAATGGAACACTTTTATACCTAAACCAAGTTCTTTCCCTCTAACTTCAGTTATTAAATATATATTGATTTGGGTGGGTTTTTTGTTTTGTTTTGGTTTTTGGTTTTTGGTTGTTGTATATTTGAGACAAGGTCTCACTATATATCCTTGGTTGGCCTGGAACTCACTTATATAGACCAGGGTGGCCTGGAACTCATAGAGATCCACCTTTAAAGGTATACACCACCATGCCCACCTGATTTGTTTTATTTCTAATTTCAGGCTCTTCAGCAAAAGCCCTTGTCAGTTTAAAAGGTAAGAATCATGCTTTTCTAGATATATATAACAATTGGAATATATTTTTTCTTTTCCTTCTGTTATATGTGACTCATTGCATTGTCTCAAGTATTGACTTTTTGCTGATAATTTTAAAATTTATTTTACTTTTAGAGAATTGATCTGTATTTGTTAGTAATTAAGAAAAAAATTCCTAAAATTAGTGCTTAAAGACTATCTTCTTTTTTGAGATGACTTGGCACTCACTATGTAGACTAGGCTAGCCTAGAACTCACAGAGACTCACCTACCTCTGCCTCCTTTTTGAAGTCACCATTCCTTGCTTAAGGAATGTCTTAATTAGAGCTGGGGTGGAGCTCAGCTGTAGAGTGCTTGCCTGAGCTCTCTCTCAGTTAGGTGTCACTGCTGTTAAACATTCAAGAAACTTGGCTGAGCTTACATGGATGTTGATAAGAATATTGCATGTTCTCTGAACTAAAAGAATGAGATTTTTCTACAAAAGGAGGAGGTAGTGGTGGCAGCCTGGATAAAGGACCTCCTGACTCAGCCTCCATCTGACTTACTTTTTTGTGGTTTTGTTTTTATTTATTTTTGTTGCTTTCTTTTTTTGAGACATAGTCTCACTATATATAGGCCTGACTGACTTGGAGCTCAGTGTTTAGACCAGACTGGCTTCAAACTTGGATAATTTTCATGCCTCAACCTCTCAAATACTAGGATTACAAGAACGCACCACAATAGTTATTTTAATATCTTTTGAAAGAGGATCTCATAGCATAGGTTGGCCTCAAAATCCTTATGTAGCAGAGGCTTGTTTTGAACTACTAATCCTCCTGCCTCAAGCTTCCTAGTATTAGGGTTACAGAATACCACCACACCTGCTCCAATTAATATATTTCTTAGGGAAAAAAATTAGAGAATGTTGGTAAGCAGCCATAGAAAAATAAGAAACATATATATATATATATATATATATATATATATATATGTATATCAATCTGTTTTATTGTATTTATATTAAACATATGTCTGCTTTTAAACATAATTCTTTACAAAAATTAAAATCATTCTCCTTTATTTTATATATCTAATCATTTAATTGGTAGAACCTTTTCTGTTTTTTACACAACACTAAAGACATTTCTTTGAATTAAGAATGGCTGAGTATCGTGGTTTGTGCCTGTAATTCCCACTGTTTTGGAGGCTAAGGCTGGAGGATTGCTGTGACTTTGAGGTCAAGCTGGGACATAGGAATGTGCTACAACACCATACCATAATGTATTAATTTCCCTATGTCGAATTTCACATATTGAAGCAAAAATCATTTAGACAAATCCTCTAGGAAGCTAGGTGTGTAGCCCATGCTGCATTCTCAGTACTTGGGAAACATAGAGCAAAAGGATCACTCCAGTTTCACAGACAGCCTTGGCTCCTCAGTGAATTCCAGGCCACCCTGGGAAGCATAGTGAGAGTATGTCTCAAAACAAAAACAGAATTTGAAGGAGTTCATTCTTTATTTCCCATTGTCCTACTTTTGGTTAGATTTTTATTTAAAAACAAAACAAAACAACCAAATTGTTCTTAACAGAGTAAAAGAATTATTAAAAACCTAATGCCAAAACAAAAACCTGTAATGCTTTACTAGGCAGTGGTGGTGCACACCTTTAATCCCAGCACTCGGGAGGCAGAGGTAGATGGATCTCTTTGAGTTCGAGGCCAGCCTGGTCTACTGAGCGAGTTTCAGGATAGCCTCCACAGCTGCAAAGAAACCCTGCCTTGAATCCCCCCCACCAAAAAAATAAAGAAATGTAATACTTTAAAGATGCATTGTTTTCTCATATTGTTAAAAGAATGGACAGAAAACACAGGTAAGGTTTTTTTATATTGGTTTTTTAGTTTTAAAAAAAAATGTAATTGTGTGAGGCTGGAGAGATGGCTCAGTGGTCAGGAGCACTGGCTGCTCTTCCAGAGGACGCAGCTCAGTTCCCAGCACCTACATGACAGCTGGGCAGTCAACTGTAGTTCTAGGTCCAAAGGATCTAATGGCCTTCTTTGGCCTCTGCAGGTGCCAGACATTTATGTCGTGCACAGAAATACAGATAGGCAAAACACCAAATAATCCGATTTTTAAAAATCGTATTGTGTGAGTGTGGATGTGTGCTACAGAGTGTTTAATGGTGATCAGGAGACAACTTTCAGGAGTCAGTTGTCTCTTTCCACTGTGGGTTTTAGGGATCAAACTCAGACTGGGGTCATCAGCTATCTCTCTGCAAGTGCCTTTCCCCTAAGCCATCTCTCTGGCCTGAGATATTTCTTTTGTTTCTAGTAAACTAAATTATTGCAATCACATTGTAATCTTTTCACATTAGTATACACTTCATATATTTATCTTTATTTTATGTGCATTGGTGTTTTGCTTACATGTAGGTCTGTGTGAGGGTACCAGATCTCCTAGAACCAGAGTTTATATAGTTGTGAGCTGCCATGTGGGTGCTGGGAATTGAACCTGGGTCCTCTGGAAGAACAGCCAGTCCTCTTAACCTCTGAGACATCTCTCCAGTACCGCCCCCCCCACATATATTTACTATTACTACTACTAAAGGGTAGTGTTCATGCTCTAATATCCCTTGAGCTAACTTTACATTTTATCAGTATCAATTATTCGTTACAGAGGGAAGTTTATCTAACACATGGAATGAAAAATACAGTTCTTTACAGAAAACTCCTGTTTGGAAAGGCAGGAATGCAGGCCCTGCTGTAGAAATGGTAAGCAGGGCTTCCCTGGAAGCCGCAGGGTTTCTTGCTCATTTGTGTGGTTGTTTGTATAAGTTCACGTAGCACAAAATAGTTTTACAAGGTCCCCCTGCCAGCTGTAGGTATTTTCATTTTCACATGTCATTGAGCAGTATTTGATTTTGACCTCTAACTCACGGAGATCTGCCTACCTCTGTCCCTGGCTCCTGAGTGCTGGGATAGTACTATTTATTTTTGGTACTTACAGGTTTTTAGTTCTAAAAATAGCTAACATTTTTCTGATATGTATTATGAATTTTTATTTACAGTTAGAAACTTGATAAACTTTTGACATTAGATCTAGTATAATACTAAAGCCAGGTAGGCATACTCTTCGCAAGTGATATAGTGTCCTTGTCTAACCCAACCCTCTGCAGCTCATAGCATGTAATAGCCTCTTAATATTAACCAACTTAATTTGAGCTGGAATTTCAAAACATATTTTCCAAACTTCTCCATGCAAGGTTGCCAGTGTGCCACAGAGGTGTTGGTTCTAGTTTTAGGTTTATCATCATTGCAGAAATACATATTTAAATGATTTGCTAATTTAAGATGTTTATTTTGGCTTTGTGTGCCTTGTGCTACTCATTTATAGTCCTATACTGCTGATAATCTAGAGTTAGCTGTGCTTTCCAGATCTAATTTTCACTTGGAACAAAAACAAGACACATTCATTAAAGTAAAATTCTATCATAGCCTTTCAGAAATTCAAAAAGAAGTCGACTTTTTTCTGATGAAGATGACAGACAAATAAATACAAAGTCACCGAAAAGAAACCAGAGAGTTGCAATGATTCCACAGGTATATATGTATTGAAGTTTTTTTCATGTGAAGGATGTGAATAATTCTGCAATGTGATAGAGTTCATATTTATTCTGTTACATTTTGAACAGCATTCTTTACGTCAGTATTGCTGCTCAGCAATCCTTTTTACTAACCTGGAAAATTCAGTATTTATTAAGTTACTTAGGTAGGAAGCCAGTTGTGATTCTCATGAAGGTAGTGGACACTAAGTAAAATAAACTTGGTAATATGGATTCAATTTTGAGTTTTACACCAAAATAAGTGAGAAGGAAATGCTTAACTTTATCATGAGCAGTATGATGAAAACTTTCCAGAAGAGGATACAGTACCGTATAAAATGGGATTTCCTTTTTGTATTGTTTGTTTATTATTTTGGGGGAGGGGTACTATGGATCAAATCTAGGGTGTCTCATATGCTGGACAAGTACTCTTCCATTGAGTTATTTTTGTTTTATTTATCCTATTTTATTTTTGACACTTTAAAAAAGTTTTGGCTGGTGAGATGCTCAGAGGAATGACTGTTGTCACAAAGCCAGATAAACTGAGTTCTGCCACTGGAACCCACATGGTGGAAAAAACTACCTGCAGGTTGTCCTCTGAGCACCACACACACACACACACACACACACACACAAAGCATGTAATGAAGCATGTAATGAAGGAATGAAACTTAGCTAAGAAAATATGGTCTTTAACAATAATGTGGGTTTTCTCAGACCAGCTTTATGACTTCTGATAGAACTTCTGTTATCCTTTTATTATTTTCCCTAATGTGTTATAAGACAAGATTTTCAATACAGTGCTTAGAACTCAGCATTTAGCCTAGGCTGTCCTCAGACATAATCTTTCTTGCTTCAGACTCCCAAGTACTGGAGATTACAGGAGTGTACCACCATGGAACTTCTTTGTGATGATTATAATGATAAAATATCATGTTCCATAGAATGAACAAAATGCATCTTGAACTTTTAAAACACGAAGGACAAATGTATATAAGTACCTGATAAGCAAATAAAACATATGATTTCATTGTAAGTAAAAATGCAGTGTGTTGGTTTGGTAGGTGTTGGACATAATGTCAAATGGATTTAAAAACTAGTCAAGGGGGCTGGAGAGAGGCTCAATGATTAAGAGCACTGACTGATCTCCCGGAAGACCTGGGTTCAACCCAGCACCCACAAGTCAGCTCATACCTGTCTGAAACTCCAATATCTGACACCCTCACACAGACATACATGCAGGCAAATCACCAGTGCATATAAATTAAAAATAAATGTCAGTTGTTAGGCTTTGACAAAGCTGTGTTACTATAATAGTCTGGATAAGTCACATATATAACAAAATTTTAGTCCTTATCATCAGAGCTATCTTGGTCTAGATCTAACCATGGCTGCTTTCCAGGCATGCCTCCTCGGACTGATTTACAGTCTTTTCTACTTCTGAGCAATTAGAACAAAGAACACAGGACAAATAAAAGACAGCTTGGCGATGTGTTTACTTAATGAACACAGTCCACAGCTGAAAAAATATTAAGATCCAACATTTATTGAGTATTTACTATATATCAGGGGCTATCCTAAGCATTTAATGTGTATTATTACTTAGATTTAATTTCTTTTCTAACCCATGAAGTCTAGAAGTAGTTCACTTGTGTCTGTTTTTCATGCCTAACTAAACTGAAATTATATTATAGTTCAAATATAGCAGAGGCAAGTATTTCACTTCCTTTTCAGAATGTAAAAGTTGAGGCTTTAACTTTTTTTAGTGTGTGTGTGTGTGTGTATACACAACTTGTGAGAGTCAGTTCTTTCCTTCCTTCCTTCCACCGTGTAGTGACCTATGAACTCAGGTCATCAGGCTTAGTAGCAAATATCTTTACCTGTTGAGCCTCATTGCCAGACTGAGGTTTTTCCTTTGTTATCAGGAGGTTTACTTGTTAACAAATTGATTATTATTGAATATTTTTGAGTACTTAAATATGCTCTACCTTTTTTTATAAATGCATTTAGTATTGCAAATGTTCATTTTTGTTTAATGAAGCTGTAATTTATCTTTTTTTAATGTAGAAATTTACGGCAACAATGTCAACACCAGATAAGAAAGCATCACAGAAGATTGGTTTTCGATTACGGAACCTTCTCAAGCTTCCCAAAGCTCATAAATGGTGCATATATGAGTGGTTCTATTCAAATATAGACAAGTAGGTATCATTGCTCGTATCATTAATGATACTGAACTTTTTCCAATTATAAGCTGTCAGTAAGTCTACTTCTGTAAGTCTACTTTACACTTTTTTAAAAAAATTATTTTTATTTACTATATATATGTATGCATGTCTGTATTACTTTATTACATCATATGTGTGTAGGTGCCACAGAAGTCAGAGGGTGTAGGATCCCCTAGAGCTGGAGTAATAGGCAGTTGTGAGCTGCTGTTTGTGGGAATTCAACCCAGGCTCTCTGCAAGTGCAGCATAGGCTCTCTAGTCACCCCATTCCCCCCCCACTGTGTTTTTCTTCCTTTGTTTTAGGTGCAAAGACAAGGTCTTGTGCTATTCAGACTTGTCTTGACCTCTTGGGTTCAAATGATTTTTTTAAAGAGCTGTAGCTGGCCTGGTAGAGCAGGCTAGAGATCTGCCTACCTCCCTTCATGACTTCAAATGATCCTCTTCCTCAGTCTCCCAAGTAGCTGAGTACAGGTGTGTGCCACCATACCCAGCGTAGAGTCTGTTTCCCTATTCCTTATTCCAGTTTACTTAATTTCTATTTTTTTTTTTTTTAAAGATTTATTTATTGTGTTTACAATGCTCTGCTTACATGTCTGCTTCAACACCAGAAGAGGGCACCAGACCCAATTACAGATGGCTGTGAGCCACCATGTGGTTGCTGGGAATTGAACTCAGGACCTTTGGAAGAGTAACCAGTGCTCTTAACCTCTGAGCCATCTCTCCAGCCCCTTAATTTCTATTTTTATTACAGTTTTCTCTCTCCGTTTCCTGCCCCAGTAAGAAGTTACACATGTTGTGAGAAGTTTTAAATGAAAGCATAATTTCCATATTATAACTAGCAACTACTACAGAATAAAGAAACCCTACATCAAAGCACCACCAACTGCAACTAGTGAGATTTGTTTTAAATCTGGAGAAATAGACAAATCATTTGTAGGAGAGTCATTTTTTCATTTACAGCCAGTATTTAGACACTATACAGGAATCTTGAATTGCACATTGAGGGATCGACTGAAATCCAATTACTACACAATAGGTTTGTTGAAGAACATCTCTGACTCTGATCTGTCTCCTGTGTCCATTTGTTATGGGCGGCTGTTTGGTTGGTTATTGATCAAGTACTTCCCTTCTGTCTTCCAAAAACAGTTGCTTGCTCAGAAGCTTGTGAATGAAGATCATGGGTTTTCACATATATGTGTCATTGTTAAAACTGGGCCTTTCTGTTTTCAAACACATAAGTAGAATTTTTTGATGATCTTGATGTGATTATTTTGGGAGTCACCAAAACTACCCCAACCCTCTAGAGTGCTCCAGTGTTCTAAGACTTGTTTAATCCCAAAGAGGAGAAGACTCCTTGGTGATGGCTTTTCCTTTGGGGAAAAGATACTTTGTAGTTAATATTGTTTGTCTTTATCAAATGTAATGCCAGAGGATAGTCCCAGATGGATCTCTGAGCAAACTATCCCTCTCCTGGAACCTCCCATCTAAACTGATTTCCCGAGTGACTTAACATTTTAGATAGTCCATCTGTCAAGTACCTTTTTCAAGCCTTTGAATTTCACCTACATACAATTTAGAAGTAGAAATTTGGCACATTGTGATTAGTATGATGCAAAAAAATCAGAATGTATTTTGTTTTTTAAGGCAGGGTTTTTCCGTGTAACCCAGGTTGCTCTTAAGCTTGCTTTGTCACTATGTAATCACAAATACTGATGTAGCTGAGGCTAGCCTGGTGCTTTTGATTCTCCTGCCTTTCTACAACTATACAGCTTTGAAAGGTATGTTTTAGATTTTGTTTAAGAAAGTAACACACTATTAACCAATAAATAAAACCATTCTGTTTTACAGGCCACTTTTTGAAGGTGATAATGACTTCTGTGTATGCCTAAAGGAATCTTTTCCTAATTTGAAAACAAGAAAATTAACAAGAGTAGAATGGGGAAAAATCAGGCGACTAATGGGAAAACCACGGAGGTAAAAATAACTTTTTTTGTTTAAAGTTAATAAATAGTTAATACTATCATTAATACCTTGGCTCTTTCTTTTTTTTTTTTTGAGACAGTTCTCACTATGTAGCTCTGGCTTATCTGGAGCTCACTATACAGAATAGACTGGCCTTGAACAAAACAAAGATCTACCTGCCTTTGCCTCCTAAGTGCTGGGATTTGAAGATGTGGTGAACCTTAACTTTTTAAATCTTCAAATGACTATTACCAAAACATTACTTTTCAGGAATATTGATTATGTATTAAATACATCATATGAATGGACTTTAACGTAAGAGCTTTGTACACTTAGAATAAAATATACGATTTCATTTTTTTCTGATCACAGATTTTTAACATATTACTGTTTTGAAGTTTTTTTTTTTTTTTTAAGATTTATTTATTATGTATATAATGTTCTCCCTGCATGTACACTTGCACTCCAGAAGAGGGCATCAGATCTCATTATAGATGATCGTGAACCACCATGTGGTTGCTGGAAATTAAACTCAGGCCCTATCTGGAAGAACAGCCAGTGCTCTTAACTTATGAGCCATCTCTCAGCCCCAATGTTACTGTATTAAATTACCTATTTCCTTTGTGTCATCACTCCTCCTAATTTTATCTACATGTCTATCTGTCCATCCGTCCGTCCATTTGTCTGTCTATATGCAGTCTCATGTATCTTAGCCTAGCCTCAGACTGGTGTGACTAGCCAAACATAATCTTGAACTTGTCATCCTCCTGCCTCTTCCTTCTAAGTGCTGGTATTAGAGGTATGAAATGTTAGGACCAGTTTTGTAAATGTGGTGCTGGAGATCAAATCCAGGAATTTGTACATGCTGGTCAGGCACTATACTAACTGTGCTAGGTTCCCAGTCCACTTCCAAAATGTTTACTTGTCCTGGAAAATATTTAAGGAAGCATATTTCTCACATTTATTGACTCTGTGTGTGTGTGTGTGTGCGCGCGCGCGCGCGATAATACAAATTATTAATACAATAAACTTTCAGAAATACCCTAATTTCAAAACTCAAGTGAGGGGCTAGAGCGATGGTTCAGTGTGAAGAGCACTTACAGAAGACCCAGATTTGGTTCCCAGCACCACATGGTATCTTATAATGATCTGTAACTCCAGTTCCAGTGGATGTGTTACCTCCTCCTCTGGATTCCTTGGACATACACTATAAACACACATATGTACACACCCATACATATGTATGTGTATACATATGTATATACACACATATACACACACTTAAGGAAGCCAGGAAGATGACTCAGCAGGTAAGGGACTTGCTGCCAGTCCTGGGGACCCAGATGGTGGAAGGTGAGAACAGACCTCCATAAGTTGTGCTCTGATTTCCACTTGTACACCATGTTGTATCTGTGTGCATACACACACACTCAAATAAGTGCAAAAAGTTTTAAAAGAATCAATGGTAAAATTGCATTTAGTCACAATATAAAAAGGAAGGGAAACAGTGAAACTACCAGAAAGGAACTTAAAAGTAAACATGTGATGTACATGAACAAATATGGAGATTTAAATTAATGTAAAAGTATCAGTCTCCCCATCAGCCTCCATGCTTGAGATCAGACTTAGGTCTTAGAACACATTAGACACATACAAGGTGTTCTGCATCAATATACCTGCCAAGCCCCTAGACACATTTTAATTTTTTTTTGACACATTTGTTTTTATAATGAGTTAATCCTAAATTTTGTATAGAAGATGTGGTAGCAAATCTCTAAATTCAAGGCTAGCATGTGTTATATAGTGAGTTCCAGGCCATCGAGGGTGACAGTGAAAATCTTGTATCCCCTCCTCCAGACCCCTCCCCCAAAATTTTATTTGCTAGGAGAGAAATCCAGTAAAGAAAGTCTAAAAAAACAAAAGAATGAAGGACATTTATCAGGTACCAGCTGAAGTATTAAAATAGTCATTAAGATTGACAGTAACTGCCTTTACTCACAGAGACCTCCTGCCTGTGCCTCATCATGCTGGGATTGAAGTTGTACGCCGCCATACCCAGCCTCACCTTGTCCTTTGAGACCCTGACTAGTTTGTTCTAGGATCTCAGCCTTCCTAGATTACAATGAAAGGCAAGCATCCATACCCAACTAGTATTCACACAGGTGCTGGGTGTCCAAACTCTAGTCTCGCTTGCATAGCAAGTACTTTCACCACTGAACCATCTCCCCAGCCCCCCAAAATCTATCTGATTATACACAATATATAATGTTTATAGTACATGTGTTTGAATTGCAGGGGTGTACTGTAATGCCTGGCCTAGCTTGGTTTATAGGATGTCTGTAATTTATTCTAGATGTTCTTCTGCATTTTTTGAGGAAGAGAGATCAGCATTAAAACAGAAACGGCAGAAAATCCGGCTTTTACAACAAAGGAAAGTTGCAGATGTTTCACAATTCAAAGATCTCCCAGATGAAATTCCTCTACCCCTGGTTATTGGAACCAAAGTTACAGGTAAGTGAAAATTAGGCTGTTATGAGTCACTTCAAAGTTGTAGCCAAGATCGCATCTATTAAAAGTTTAGTAAATATAACTCTGGTTCTGTAGCAATTCACTATAGTAAAGAAATATTAGTGGGCTGAAGAGCTGACTCAGTTGCTAAAAGCAGTTGCAGCTTTTGCAAAGGTCTTGGGTTCAGTTCCCAGCACCTTCACAGCAGCTCAGAACCTGTTCCATGGGGATCTGATGGCCACTTCTGGCCTCTGAGGGCAACTCGGCATGCATGTGATATACATACAGGCATGTACACAAACACTCATACACATAAAATAAAAGTAAATGCCTTAAAATATATATATTAGTTCAATAGTGTCTACTACAGTATGAACTAAAGTAGCCAGGCATAGTGGTAAAGGCCCATTACCCCAGCTCCATGGAAAGCTGAGGTCAATGTGGCCTATCTACATAGCATTGAGACCATGTCTTAAATAGGAAAAGGTTGGGGATATAACTTACTGAAAAGTACTTCTCCAGCACAGTAATGATTTAATCCCCAGAAGTCCCCCCCCAAAAAAAGGAAAGAAGTAAATTAACCAAAAAAAAAAAAAAGAAAGCAAACTGCTGTAAAAATGATAATAAGATCCATTGGGATAAGTCATCATTTTCTTCCTAACCAGCCTTATCTAGTTAATTCACAAGCAGCATTGTTCTTGTTATATTTGAGCCTAGAAATAATCCATTTTTAATAATTGAATAAGTTATTCAGTAGTCTGTTTGTTCAAAAATATGTCAGGGGGAGGCAGTGTGTGGCACGCACCTGAAGTCTTAATCATTCTAGAATCCAAGGCAGGGTGATTGTAGTCACTGCCAGCTGGAGTAACATACAGCAGTGCCTCACTTCAAAGAGTTTGGCAGGTCGTAGTGACATACAACTTTTAATCCCAACGCTCAGGAGACAGAGACAGTCAGGTCTTGAGTTCTAAGACAGCCAGGGTTACATAGAGAGAGCTTGTTTAAAAAAAAAACAACCCCTTCAAAAAAAAAAAAAGAAAAAAGTTTTTCTATAAGATAAAAGATTTGTCAATTTTATAGATGTGATTCTACATACCCACTTCATTTATAACAAAGAGGAAAATATAATGAAAATTTCAAATTTAGCTAGGGCTATGATTTTGCACACTTGTCTAGCGTGCTTCAAAGACTAGAACTGAAGCTGACATGGTGACACATGCCTTTAATTCCAGCAGAGATAGGCAGATCTCTTGAGTTTGAGGCCAGCCTAGTCTAGGTGAGTTCTGGGACAGCCAGAGCCACACAGAGAAACCCCATGTGCATATGTATGTTTTATCTGCATGTATGCCTGTTTAGTGCCATCAGAGACCAGAAGAGAGTGTTAGATCCCTTGAGACTGAAGTCATAGACAGTTGTTGGCTGCTATGTAGGTGCTAGGAATCAAACCTGGATCTTCTGCAAGAACAGAAAGTGATCTTAACCACTGAGCTATCTCTCATCTATTTTTATTCTTTGATAATTTTATACATGCATACTACTTCCTTGCTATGTATTTTTTCTTGAGTTAGAATCATATTTCATAGTTAATATATCTAGTAATTTTTGGTTGAAAACATGATACTATGGTAACTATACTGTTGTTTTACAGTGTGGTTAAATTTGCTTGCCTTTACAACTACTGATCTGTTTTCTCCATTTTCTTTCTTCCTTTCTTTTATTGTTATTTAATGTACATGATTCTTTTGCCTACACGTGTGTCTGTGCATCAAGTGTGAGCAGTGTCCTCAGAAATAGATGACGACATCAGATCCCCTAGAACTGGAGTTAAGAAGGATGATTGTGAGCAATCATGTTGGGTGCTGGCAACCAAACTTAGGTCCTCTAGAATCAGTGCTTTTAACCATTGAGCCATCTCTCTGGTGTTTTTTCTTCTCCAATGTTTAATGCTTATTTTTAATCCTAATTCCCAAGGTGTGACTGCTGTGTCTATATAGTTCAGTGGTGAGCCTATGATGTTGGCAGAGGTTTGGAAGACCTCACACTGATTTGTGCAAAGTTGTTGCCAGTTTTCAAGTCTTCTTTAACTTTTACTTTCTGCAGGCTCTCTTGGTTCTTTCCTGCTCTTTTGCATAGTTTCCCAGTTAGCCAGAGATGAGTGAGAACTTATTTTGGCTTTTTGTTTTGTTTTGTTTTGTTTTCAGTCAGGGTTTCTCTGTATTGCTTTGGAGGCTGTCCTGAAACTCGCTCTGTAAAGCAGGTTGGACTTGAACTCATAGAGATCTGCCTGCCTCTGCCTCCGGAGTGCTGGGATCAAAGGCGTGTGCCACCACCGCCTGGCCTTATTTTGGCTTTTATGTTTCCCTAATTTCTGGAGAAGGTGGCTCAGTGGTTAAGAGCACTGACTGCTTTTTCAGAGGACCCCGGTACAATTCCCAGCAATCACATGGCAACTAACGATTGTCTGTAACTCCTGTTTGCAGGGGATCTGAGACCCCCCACACAGACAAACATGCAGGCAAAACACCAATATACATAAAATAAAAATAAATAAATTATAAAATAAAGTTGAAAATTAACTACTCCTAATGTGTCACTTAAAAGTATGATATCGAGCCAGCAGTGGTGGTGCACACCTTAATCCTAGCACTCAGAAAGCAAAGGCAGGTGGATCTCTGTGAGTTTGAGGCCAGCCTGGTCTACAGAGCGAGTTCCAGACAACCAGAGCTACACAGAGAAACCCTGTCTCAAAACAAACAAACAAAAAGTTTGATATCCAGAGTTCTTTTGTTACTTTATGAAGGTTCGTACTCTAAATGGTGATCTTTATTTAGTCTGTTTGGTAGCTATATGATTTCATTTATGTGTCAAATTAGAAATCATTTCGACTTGTTTTTGTGTAAAAAGTTTTGTTAATGCTCTAATTCTAAAGTAAAGTACACAGTCATGTTAAAACTAGTAGGTAGTGACACTATATTTTCTATGGTTTAAACTGCATGCTTAGAACAGTTTATTTGACAATTCTTTGCATGTACTAAATGTTATAATGCCTTTGTTTCTTTTCTTAGCACGATTACGTGGTGTTCATGATGGTCTATTTACTGGTCAGATAGATGCTGTGGACACTCTAAATGCTACTTACAGAGTAACTTTCGATAGGACAGGGCTTGGGACTCACACTATTCCTGACTATGAAGTTCTTGTAAGTAATATTTTATTAAACTTAATTATAATGTTTTAGAGTATATTTGTATTTTGTGCCTTTTAATTATTCTATTATTTTCTTATAAATTGTCTTTTATGAGAGAATCAAAGTTTCAATTCAAAGAGATGCTTAGGGTTTCCCAATCCTGTGTACTAGAACTCTGGAGAAGAGCTGTACCTAAGTCTCATGGCCCAAAGCTGGAATCCTCCCTTGTGCCTTATCCACAAGGTACTTTACTATAATGGAATCATTGTTTCTGACCAAATAATCTTGGAATCTATCCATTTTCATCTAGTCACTAAATTTAAACTATGAAGTAACCTCTTGGACTTCCAGTATTTTTCTTCTGTTTTATTCTCACATTTATGTAGAATAAATGCCTTCATTTTTTAAAATTAAATTTTATTTCTTTGTGTGTGTGTTGCTTGTGTTTGTGTTCACACATACCACAACACTTGTTTGGAGGTCAAAGCACAACTTGTGGGAGTCAATGCTCTCCTACCATTTGGGTCCCAGGAGTCTAACTCAGGTCATCAGGTTTGGTGGCAGATGTCTGGATCACTGAGCAGCCCAGTACCATCACTTTTTGCATGATAAAATTGCTATAATGTTCATCAACTTACTCAAGGCTCTGAAGCTGAGTTTTGTTTGTCAGTCAAATGGAGACTAGAATCTTGGTCTTTTGATGTTCTAATACACATTAATCTGTTAAGGTGTTTACCAGTCTTGATTTTGTAATGTTGTGGAAAGTATGTATGTTTGTGTGTGAATTTTCACATTTCCAAGTGTACTTTGGATTGAATTCAGGGCGCAGTGATCACTGAACCACTGAGCTATATCCTTGGCCTTATGTTCTTTTTTAATAAATAAAATAATTGCTGGAGATACAGCTCAGTGGTAGTGTTTGCCTAGCATGTGAAAGGCCCTAAAGACTGCCGAACAAACAAATAAATAAAATTAGTTTAATAATTAATAAAATAATTATAGCTGTTATCTGGGCTGGTAAGATGCTATATCTCAAGTTGATATACAATGTTTACAAATTCTTCAAGTTTTATGGATTATCGTCTTTTCCCAAAGAGTAATGAACCTCATGAGACAATGCCAATTGCTGCCTTTGGACAAAAACAGCGGCCTTCTCGGTTTTTTATGACCCCTCCACGGTTACATTATACCCCTCCTCTCCAGTCACCAATTACAGTAAGTAATATAGAAATGCCCTCAGTAACATAACTATTGCAAATATAAACTGTTCTCATGAAACACACATTACAACTACTTCAGGACTTGAGTGCTACCTTTATCTATGTTGTTTTCATTGATTGGCAGATATTTACATAGTTGCTTCAATTCTGGAAATGTTTTCTTTGTTATTGGATTTAATGTAATTTAATTAAGCAGAACTTTCACTTTATGTAAAGATACTGTCAATGATGAGATGATTCCTTCTGTCCCACAGGATAGTGATCCTTTATTAGGACAGTCACCCTGGAGAAGTAAAATCTCTGGCTCTGACACGGAGACATTAGGAGGCTTTCCAGTGGAATTCCTTATCCAGGTGGTGAGTTAAGACTTGTCCCTTGCAACAGTCTGTGAAAGAGATACCCAAGGAGAACTGTAAGCCAGGGGGCCTCAGCATGCATTGCCTCACTGTCTATTATACTGATAGCATTATTGGTGCTTATGTATTTTATTTTTTGTGGATATTTTTGTTTTGTTTCTGGGTTTTGGGGGGGCAGTTTTAGGTTCATAACCAAGTTAAGAGGACTGTAAAGATATTTCACATATCCTCCTATGTCCCCAAAGCTTCACCAGAGTGGTACACTTGTTACAGTCAGTGAGCCTCTGTTGTTATCATCATCACCCAAAACTATGTGATAGTGCTGTTCCCTCTTGGTTTTGAGTATTTTAAGTGTTTAGACAAACTCTTTTTTGTTGCCAATTGCTATGTTCTGACTAGTTTCTCTGTATTGAAAAAACAAAGGGATACAAATTGATGAAGGAACATACATGGGTTTATTTATACTTTAGGCAAACCTGGGAAAGACTCCTATTTTCTGCCCTTCCTGATGCAGTGTTACAGCCAGGTGGTAAACATGCATGCCTTTAATCCCAGCACTCAGGAGGCAGAGGCAGGGGACTCTATAGGCTCAAAGAAAGCCAGAGATACACAGAAAAAAGGAAAAAAACAAACAAACAAACAAACAAACAAACAAAAAAAAAAAAAAACACAAAAAGGCAGAAAAGATGAAACTAAAGCCAGAGGAAATGTTTATGATATGGTCATGATAATTTTACTGTGAGATCAGCCATCAGAGCTGTGTAGTTTCTTCTCCTGCCTGGCCCACTGGTATCAGTACTTCCTAGGCTTTGCCTTTCTCCAGCATGTTGATTCCTGTGGAAAGTTTTAACTCTCCACTGTTATTCAGTAGTCTGGTAGGCAAAGGGAGGGTTACAAGTATCTCCCCGAAATATTTAAAATTGCCAGGGCTTCATCCCCCGAGCTCAGCACAGGAGGACAGTGGCACCCACATCCCCTTTTAACAACTCAGTCTTAAAGGATTTGGGTTGTTGTGCCATCTATTTAGTGCTGGGATTGTTTCATTTTCTTGCAGTATGCCTATGCCTGAAAGAAATGGTGAGCAGAATATGCATTTATGTTTCTTCCATGTCTTCTGATAACTTGACATCTCATCTCCTTGTAGCACAGAATACTAGTGTATTGGATGGATGCGCTGCCATGTGTGTATCCATTCACTCACTAAAAACGTCTTGATTGCTTTCAGGTTTTGGCAGTTGTAAATTATGATTCTACCCCAAAGATCTATGTGTAGATGGAAGTTTCAAGCTCCATTCTCTGAGCCTCAGACAGGCTTTATTTGTACAAGCAAGATATCACCACATCTATGTGTAGGTTTTTGTGTAGCCATATTAAGTAAGTTGATAATGGGATCTAAAGGTTTGGTTAGGTTTGTGGCTCCCCCTCACATAACCCTTTTGTTGTTTTTATATGAATGTTATACTTTTTTTTCTTTCTTTCTTTTTTTATTTTTTCCTTTTTGATCTGAAGTCCACATATATCTTAGGCTAGGCTGGAATTTGTTGTGTAGACAAGGATGACCTTGATCTTACTGTCTCCACTTCCAAACTGCTGGGATTACAGACTACAGTGCCTAATGTATGTGACACTGGGACTTTAACCCGTGAACACTAGGAAAGCACTTTACCTATTGTGCAACATCCCCAGCTCTTGGGTGTTGACTTTACAGTTAATTTTATGTTCCACTGATAGGTCTGTGATATTTCATTTGTTGGCTGTCACTGATGAGTAACTTCATTCATTCATTATATTGTTGTTAGGTTTCAAACCCCAGGACAAATGGGTAACTGAGATACCCACTAAGATCAAAGTGGACCTTGCCACCAGGTTCTCCCAACACCCCTTAGTCCTTACCTGTTCTGGGATATGCCAGCCAGAAGGACTCTGTAACAGGTAGGAACTGAGGGTTGTAGGGAGAACTGGGTGGCCAATGTCCACTTTAATATGTTAAATAGGCACCTTGGCTATTTGTCCAATGTTTGAGACTTAACAAGTGCAAATATGGGGTCTGGAGAAATGGTTCAGTGATTAAGAGCACTCACTGCTTCTGCAGAGGACCAAGGTTCAATTCCCAGTACCTACATGGAGACTCACAGCCATCTGTAACTCCACTTTCAGGGGTCCTAAGATCCTTATCTGTCCTCTGCAGGCACTGCATGCAAGCAGGACATACATATAGGCAAAACACTGATGCACATCAAATAATAAAAATTTATTAAATTAAAAAGAAATGAACATATCTTTATTTTAAAGGATTGTTGAGATGGTCATTTCATTCTATTTTTTCTTTCTTTGCTTGTTATCTAAAATAATTATATAAAGAAAAGCTACATCAGGTACATGCTTGCAACTCCCAGCACTCAGGAGATAGAAGCATCACTGAAAATTTGAAGCCAGTCTGGTTTACCCAACAAGGTCTAGGCCAGCCCAGGCTATATGGCAAGACTATGCCTTGAAAGAGGGGAGGGTTGGAATAGAGGAATGCATTACCCTAATATATTACTTAATGGTATAATTTTTATAGAAACACAAGATAAATGTTTGATGTTTTCTCTTTGCTTCCTGGTTCACAAAATAAGTTTGGTGATTAAAATCATCTAGTTCCAGGAGATCTGACTCTGTCCTGACCTTCCTGGACACCAGGCATGCACATGGTACACAGTCATACATGCCACAGTAGTAGAACAACTGAAGACCATACTACTGCACACTTAAAGTGATTAATGTTTTTAAAATATCACCATGAACTTAAGGATTTTTATTTATTTACTTGCATACTTATTTATGTTTGGTTTTTAGAGACAGGGTTTCTCTGTGTAACAACTCTGGCTGTCTTAGAACTAGTTCTGTAAACCAAAAAAAATTTAACTTCAAGAATTTTTGTATTTCCCTTCTTAGCAGTTTTTGTTCCTATTGGTCTAAAAAATTTGTTCATTTTGAGCTGTGAAAGCTTGTTCAGATTGACTTTTTACAAAACTTACACTATTTTATGTTTTCTGCCAGTGTATAAAATAGTCGCTTTTGTGAAACAGAAACCCATGTAAATACAGAGAAGTAGCAGGTGTTAAGGACTGCAGAGTGGAAAGTTGTTAGGAAGGAAGCCTTGACAGGCTTTATGTGTAGTTCTCTTGGGTGAGGCAAAGAGGTTTGGGAAATATCTGAACACCTTGGCTGCAGAAAGGAATAGACATTGAGTCTGAAGGGATTTGTACTTCACTGTCATCTTGGAGTCATGTTGAGCCTTTTACAGACAGATTATTCAAGTCTTCATCATGCCTGGGAAACCTTCACACAGTTGAGCCTAGCAGCTGGAGCTGTCCAATGGCTTTCATTGTAGCAGAGACACTGGGGAAACCAGATAGGAGCACTTCTGGGGCCTGACCCACCAGCCTGTCCTAGGTGGGCAGGTGCTGGTCCACAGAACCAGAGGGACAGGTAGTGGTACTCTGAACTTTGTACCTAAGTTTCCCAGGTTAATTCCTTAATCCTTTTTTAAACATATCCTTATTACAGTACACTTAAAATTATGTATCATTACATCTTTATTTTGTGTGGGCTAGAGAGATGGGTAGATGAGTACACCATGTGTCACAGTGCAAATAACTTTAGGAAGCTGGTTCTCTCGTCCCACCTATGGGTTCCAGGTTTGGTAGTAAGCATCTTTACCCCATCCCAGTGACCCAATTATTTTAACTTTAATGTAGCCACATGGCTATGCACATGTGCAGAACATGCATGTGGCAGAGCTCATCCACATTTTGTATTAGTGTCATTTTGTGTTATTCCCTCCCTCTCTCCTTCACCAAACACCTTTTTTTTTTTATATATATAAATCCATTTGTAGGGAGTTGTCACATGTACATGGTCTTGCTTCTAAAAGTCAGTAGACAACTTTGAAGAGTTTATTCTTTTCCTGGTATTGGCATATGCCTTTATTCCTGGCATTCAGGTGGCAGAGACAGGCAGATCTCTGAGTCTGAGGCCAACCTGGTTTACATAATGAGTTCTAGGACAGCCAGGGCTACATAGAGAAACCCTGTCTTGAAAACAAAAAACAAAAAACAAAAACAAAAAAAAAAAACAAGTTAGTTCTCTCCTTCCACCATGTGGGTACAGGGAATCAAACTCAAGTGGTCAGGCTTGTTAGTACATCTCACTACCCCTAAATACAGTAGATTTTTAAAGTCATATTTTTGTTGTTGTTTTTGTTTTTCAAAACAGGGTTTCTCTGTAGTTTTAGAACATGTCCTGGAACTCACTCATAAACCAGGCTGGCCTTGAACTCACAGAGATCTGCCTGCCTATGCCTCCCGATTGCTGAAATTAAGGTGTGCATCACCATTGCCCAGCTCATATTTTCTTTCATTAGTCAGGGTGTCATTAAGTAGATTAGGCTGCCCTGAAAGTTGTTATGTTGCCTCAGATGGCTTAAATGTGTGGTCCTTCTGCTTCAGTATCCTGAGTGCTGGAGTTGAATATGTATCCTATGCTGAATTTAAACTATTATTTTTGCTTACTATTCACATATGTAAAATAAAATGCTTTGCCATAATTATATTGAGACTAAACTGTACCATTAGAACATATTAGTGTAAACTGGAAATTTGATATACCCAAATGTCTCTATATATTCCAAAACATTTCTCTTTTGTCTACAGACTAAATTATCAAAAATTCTCATGATTAAAAAAGAACATATCAAGAAATTAAGGGAAATGAACACAGAAGCAGAAAAACTGGTAAGGATTTGTTTCCCTTTGTTTATATGTCTAATTTTAAAATGGTGAGGCCTTCTATTTTTTTTTTTTTTTTTTTTTTTTTTTTTAATACCTTCTGGGGGAAAAAACAAAACTTTGAGGTATCCTGTTTGTTTTTGTTTTGAGACCAGGTCTTGCAGTATTTCCTTGTCTGGCCTGAAATGTGCTATATAGACCAGGCTGGCTTTCAACTTTCCTGATACTGGGGTTACAGGCATATGCCACCTCACCTGGCTTGCAATAAATATTACTTTAAATCATTATTTCATTTCACTTTTTCTTCCTATAGTCAATACATGCTAGTAAATCAGCATTAGACCACTGGCTACACAGTTGTATAGGATTAATGAGTGGATTAGCTTTGTGGATGATTTGCATGAGTGCAGAATTCCTAGGACTAATTAATACATCTCACTAAAGCAGATTTAATGACAGCTTTTTAAAACTGCTTCAGAAGAAGGTAGCTAAGTTGTCATGCTTAAGTTAATTTGACAAAGATTTTATTAATCAGATAAGTTCCAAAAGTTGAGTCAATTTTATTTATAAGAAAAAAATGAGAAGTGTTGGTTTTTGTTTTTTTGTTTTTTTAATTTTATTTACTATGTATACAGTATTCTGTCTACATGTATCCCTTCAGGTCAGAAGAGGATACCAAATCTCATTACAAATAGTTGTGAGCTATCATGTAGTTGCTGGGAATTGAACTCAGGACCTTTGGAAGACCAGCTAGTATTCTTAACCACTTAGCCATCTCTTTAGCCCCAAAGTATTGGACTTTTTGAAACTGTCTGTGTGAGTCTATGCCATGTGTATATAGACATCCCTGGAGTCCAGCACAGGTTGTCAGAGCTCCTGGGGCTGCCCAACATATGTGTTCAGAACTGACCTCAGGTCACTATTTATGTTACATAAAAATACTCTTTAAAAGTAACTCCCATTATAGCCCAGGCTAGCCTCAAAGTCAGATATTCATGTTCCTCTGCCTCAGAGTGCTGGAATTAAAAATATGAGCAACCACACCCAGCAAGATTGAAAATAAAACCTGGGTAGCTCAGTGGGAACCTGGGTTCAAACCATAACAGAAATAGGTAGGTGGGTGGGAAGGTGGGTGAATGGATGGGAGCGTGGGTGGGTGGGTAGGTGGATGTTCAGTCCCTAGCATGTATAAATAAATAAGCAAACAAAACACAAACTTAGATTCAGATATATAGGATAAAGTAAGGGAAGAGGTATTAAATTTTTATGGAATAGTACGTTTCCAAAAAAAGAAAATCCTTATTCACCCTCTTCTGTAATGAAAACAGTAACATCTGAATTATTCAAAAGACCAGGGACAATCAATACTCTGCTAATTGTACTGAGTTTTTTAAGCAGTGTAACCTAAGAGTATCAAAAGTATATTCAAGTATTTTTTCTTTCCTTTCCCAGACCGGGAACTTCAAGTAGAAAACACTGAACTAGCCGAGCTGGGATGGCCCATGCCTTTAATCCCAGCTTTTGGGAGGCAGAGGCAGGCAGATCTCTGAGTACAAGGCAAGCCTGGTCTACAGTGTGAGTTCCAGAACTCCACAGAGAAACCCTGTCTGGAAAAAAAAAAAAAAAAAAAACAAACAAACAAACAAAACAAAAACTCACTAAATGTCAGTTACTTCTAAACAGGTGTTTTGTTTGTTTGTTTTGTTTTTTTCAGTTTTTATTTAACATACATTAGTTTACCTGCACCTATGTAAGTATGCCACATGTATGCCTGATGCCCACAAAGGCCAAGAGAACTGGATTCCCTTGAAGTTACAGATGGTTAGGAACTACAATGTAGGTGCTGGGAACCGAACTTAGGTCCTCTAGAAGAGCAGCCAGTGCTCTTAACCACTCAACCATCTCTCCCCAGCATAACCAGGTGTTTTAATACTAAATAGTAGTGATTTTTATCTACCCTATCCTTATCTAGCCTCTACACGCACAAATATTTAATCTTTTTTTTTCAGTGGTTTAAGTTAAAAGCTAGTTTATGTTTAATTTTACCAAATAATCTGAGTACTTCACTGTTTTTCAGCTTAAAAGATTGGACATAGTACTTTGTTCTACAAAGAAAATACATCTGTTAAAGTTTCCTTCTCATCCAGCAAAAAAGAAAAAGTTGTTTTGGACTCTGCGTGTGTGTGTGTGTGTGTGTGTGTGTGTGTGTGTGTGTGTGTGTGTGTGAACGCGTGCGCGTGGTATGTCTGTTAATGTTCACATTTATATGCACGTGCATATATGTGCACACATGTTTGGAGACCAGAGTTCAATGTGAGGTGTCTTCCTCAATCACCCACTCTCCACAGTATTGTATGTCTGAAGATGGGGGTCTGGTTTCTTGGTGAACCTGCAGCTTATGGGTCCATGTAGGCTGGCTAATTCCAGGGATCCGCCTGTCTTTGCCCACCCAGTGCTAGTATTACAAGGCAGTGTGTGTGCTGGGGATCCACATTCTTGTGAGCAAACCTTTTACCAAGTGAGCCATCTTCCCCAACCCCAGAAAATTTGATGAAGTTTTTCAGAATATCTCTTTGAACTAGATTTTTTTGGATCAAATTACATAGTGTTGGTAAGTTAGTGAAAGTTTGAGCTTGTTAACTTCAATATATCTTTTCTATTTTAAACTATTCAAATAATGTCTTAAGCATATAAAATGACATATAGGGCTGGAGAGATGGCTCCAGTTCCAGGGGATCTGACACTCTGTTCTGACCTTCCTGGGCACTAGGCATGCACATGGTGCACAGACGTACATGTCACAGTAGTAGGACAACTGAAGACCTTAGTAGCTGGAAAAACTGAACACCAAGCACTGGAGTGATGGAAGGCAGCAAGGCAGAAGCACTGGAGTGACTGACGGATGACAGCACTGGTAGACAGACACCCATGCATACAGACACACGAATTCATGGCAAGGTGGTTTGACACAGCAGTAGGGCACCAGAACTGGGTTTAAGGGATTCAGTCACTACTTTATCCTATAGACAAAAAGACTGGGGATTTAAATCAAGAAATGGAAAATGTTACTCTGAAAACTTAAGAGACTGTAGGTTATATTTATGACTGTAGAATAGGACTCCTTAAGTAAGTACAGAGACAGTAACCATAAACAAAAAGATTGCTACATTAACCTACATGGAAATTAATTCTTGGTTGAATATAATACAGAAGAACAAAAAACTAAAAGGCAAACCACAAGATCAGAGGAAACATTTACAGCCATACACCAGTAAAAAAAGATGTGTAGCCTTGTAGACAAAAGGAAGAAAGGCTCAACAGACAGGAACTTTATACAGAAAGATATTCAAAGATCCAAAACGTCTTTTAAAAAAATACTCAACTTTGCAGCTAGGTGTGATAGCACACATCTATAATGATAGCACAGAGATGGGGGCAAGGGGATTGTGGGTTATAAGTGAGACTTTCCCCAAAAACCTGATGCCCATCTGTGTTAATGATCAGAGTAATGTGAGTACACAGATCCCATTCATTCTCTTTTAAAGATTTCATTTATTTTAAAAATTTGTTTTTATTTTATTTGTATGGGTGTTAGCATATATGTATATTAAAGACTTAATACCAAAGATGGGTGAAAATTTGACAAGTTAAAACTTCCTATTCCACAACTCAGAATAATTTTATCCATAAAAAAAGTCAGCCATATGTGCATGAAATGTTCACAACAGCAGTATTAATAATGGCTTATATTAGAAGCAGCCCAGATGCCAGCAAGTAGAGCATAGCATGGCTGTTTTATCGCTGGTTTCTATAAGGAGTACTGTATAGCAACAGATGAACTGATATGCACATTTGCAGTGGGGGTAAATCTCACCAGTGTTGCTCAGCCCTAACTAGTGCTTAGGGGGAAAGGTGGGAGGACCATTGGAGATCCCAGGTCAGCCTGCTTTATAAAGTGAGCTCCTAACTACCCAGGGCTGCATATCAAGATGCTTTTTCAAAAATGCAAAAAGCAAATAATATATTCTGTTTTGCCATATTTTATGAAATAAAATTAATACAAAACTATGAATTTGTGATTATGTGGTAAAGACTCCTCTGAAGAGAGAAAACATAAATATCAATACAGATAGGCTTATAGGATGTTGGTGTTCTTTTAATTGGCCTAGATGGGTTTCCCTATTATTAGTTCCCTAATTTTTGTTTGTTTGTTTGTTGTTTTGCTTTTTTGAGGCATTTCTTTGTGTAGCCTTGGCTCTCCTGGAACTTGCTCTCTAGACCTGGCTGGCCTTGAACACAAAGAGATCCGCCTGCCTCTGCCTCCTGAGTGCTGGGACCAAAGATGTGTGTCACTACTGCCTGGCTAGTTTCCCTAATTTTATTGAGATAGAATTGATGCTCAGCCAGCTGTACTTGCTTGAAACTTACAATTTGATCATATGCCTGTAAACCCATTACCATATGCTCTGCTAAAAATTGTTTACTACTGCTCTACAGTTTCCTTTGGTAATCCCTCCCTGATTTCTAGGCAGCCATTGATATGCTGCCTGTCATCATGTGTTAAAATTAGTTTATATTTTCTAGAATTTTTTTTGTAAAAATAGGATCATACAGTCTGCCTGAGCTCTTTTCATGCCTGGTTTCAGCATGACAAGTTTGAGATACAGGATTCAGAATACACAGTTGCTCTTTTCCTTCAATGCTAATGATCAAATCCAGGGCCTTACACTTGTACCACTGAGCTGAACCTCCCAAGTTCCTCTTTTTACTACTGAATAGCTCCTCACTTTATGTGCATGCCACAGTTTATCCATTCATCTACAAATGAGCACTTGTATTTTTTCCAATTTCCAATTTTTCTAAAGTTTCTGTGAGCATTTGTGTACAAGTCTTTGCATAGACAGGTGTTTTTATTTCTCTTGGTATGTTTATGAGAATTGAACATGTTTTTACACAGGTGATTACTACATAGTAATCCATTGAATTGTATATGTTTGTGCAATTTTGTATTAAAACTTCAGTTAAAACAAAAACATAAACAAGAGATGGCTCAACAGTTAAGAGGTACTGCTGCTCTCCAGAGGACCCAGGTTCAATTGCCAGCACCCATGTAGCAGCTCACAACTGTCTGTAACTCCTGTTCCCGGGGATCTAATACCCTCACACAGATGTACATGCTGGCAAAACACCAATGTACATAAAATAAAAATAAATTATAAAAAAAAAAACAAGATGATAATGTCAGACATGGTAGCATACACCTTTAATTTCAGTACTCAGGAGGAAGAGGCCTGCAGATTTCTTGCATTCAAGACCAGCCTGATATATGTAGCATATGTTAGGCCAGCCAAAGTTACAATTTTCCCCGAACACTGGTGATTGAACCCAGGCCGTCACATATGCTAGCCAGCACTCTGTTGTTTAGCTATACCCCAGCCATATGACATTCAACTTTCCAGCATGAAGTTACACCTTTGTGACTTCATCCTAGCATTTAGGAAGTTCACACATAGTCTGACAGAACTCTTCCCCATTTGCTCTCTCAAGAACAACCTGTCATACCACATTACAGTGGTGCCCCTTACTCCTCTAGTTCCCACTTCTGGCTTTCATGGGGACTGCTATGTGCAGTGCAGAGATAGAGCACCACAGTCAAAGTACATACACATAAAAATAAATCTTAAGAAAAAATACAGTGTATGAAGAATGACCCATCTTCATGTATAGAGTATTCATTGGTGTGCAAGGAAGTGTCCACACATTCTTCAGTGAGAAGATAAGCCACTGGTCTTCCTGGAGGGGGCAACTAGCCATGTTTATTGCCAAAATCCTACTTCCGGATCATTTATATTAGTGCATTTGTATTACTGTGATAAGGCAGCATGACCAAGGTAACTTACAGAAGTGTTCATCTGGAGGAGTAACAGTCTCTCTTGGTGGCTGGAGCATGAAGCTGACGCTCACATCCTCACCATTAACACAAAGTAGAGAAAGCATGGAGTTTTGAAACTCTCAAATTGCATACTTCTAACTTAGTGTTCTGTGGTGATATCTTGCTTGTACCTCCAGACCTCTATGGTTAGCTACTGGCGAGCTCCATTCTCTGATCTTCAGACAGGCTTTATTTGTATAAGCAAGGTATCACCACAGCGTTCCTAAAAGGAAGAGCTGAGGCATAGTGTGGAAATACTGGGTCAAAGCAAGACAGGAGCCCCATCTCTGATGTCAAAGGGGTGTTTGTTTCATTTAAGTTGTCTGTATATAAGATCTCCATTAAAAGAAGTAAATGGGGCAAGAGAGATGGCTGAGTGGTTGAGCGCAAAATACTCTTACAGAGAATCCTCATGCAATTCCTCATGTCCACATTGAGCAGCTCACAACCACCTAGCTCCAGCTCTAGAGGGGTCCTATACTTCTGACCAGTATGGGCACTGGCATTTACATGTACATAATACACTTACATAATTTTATGTATTCATTTACTTATTTTTTTCCCAACATAGGGTTTCTCTGTATGGCTTTGGAGCCTGTCCTAGAACTCGTTCTGTAGACCAGACTGGCCTTGAACTCAAGAGATCTGCCTTCATCTGCCTCCCAAGTGCTGGAATTAAAGGTGTGTGCCACCACTGCCCAGCCACCCTCACATAATTTAAAGCAATCAAATAAATATAAAAGAGATAAAAGAGTAAATGGCAGACATCATGCATTTCTAAGAACAAGGACAGTCTCCTAATAACACTAACACCATTATCACAGAATGGTATCATTGACTGTAGGCTAATGTAATAACCTGCTGGGTGTTTTAGATCTCTTAGATTGTTGAAATTGCACTGTTAACAAGACAAAACCTTATTAAGATCTGGTTTTCTTTTTTCTTAGAAATCATATTCCATGCCCATTAGTATTGAATTTCAACGGAGATATGCAACAATTGTTCTAGAGCTTGAGCAGTTGAACAAGGACCTTAACAAAGTTTTGCATAAAGTTCAGCAGTATTGCTATGAGGTAAGTGGTTTATATTGCTTTCTTTTTTGTTTTGTTTTTGAAACAGGGTTTCACTTTATATCTATGGCTGACCTGGAACTTATTGTATAGACCAAACTGACCTCGTACTCAGAGTTCCACTTGCCTCTTCCTCCAAAGTGCTGGGATTAAAGGTGTGCACCATCATGCTCAGCCTGATTTGTATTGCTTTCCCTCCATGTTTTTTAATCTGAAATTTAATGCTTTTACTGTGAACTCTTACAGGCTCTAAATTAAGCCAGGATCTTTAAAAAGTCTTTTTTAGCAAATACAGTTAAAGTCTTTTTTAGCAGAACTGTATTTTACATATACATTTACTCATGTTAGTGTTAAGAGTATTTTATATACAGTAAACTATCAATTTTCAATTACTAAATTACAAATGATATTGTTCTACCAAAAAAAAAAAAAAAAAACTTAGAATTCAGCATCCAAAAAACCAATTATCTTTTGTGTTTTGATAGTGGGGTGTGTGTGTGTGTGTGTGTGTGTGTGTGTGTGTGTGTGTGTGTGTTTGAGCGCACATATGCATGCTTCTGTTCATTTGTTAGGGGCAAGGACTAATGGGTGCCAGCCAGATTGAGCAGCCAGTTTGAGGTGTCATTCCTCAGGAACTGTCTATGTTGTTTTATCAAACAAGATCTCCCTAGGACTCAGGGCTCACTAATTAGGCATCTCTCTCTAGCTCCCCAACACTGGGATCACAAGCATATACAGTCATACCTGCTTTTCGTGTTGGTTCATGTTTGTACTGTGCCGTGTGTGTCCCCAGTCCTTTGCTTCCGGTTTTTTTGTTTTGTTTTGTTTTGTTTTTGAGACAGTATCTTGCTACATAGTCTAGGTTAACCTTGAACTCATAATTCTTCAACCTCTGCCTCCTCTAGCTCAAGTGCTGGAATTATAGACATGTACCACCATGCCTTCCAGAACAATTATTCTTACTTCACTATCCCATAAACCATATTTTTGTTTCCTATGACTTTATTTTAATGTTGGGTGTTTTTGTCTATGCTTATGCTTCTATACCATGTGTGTGCCTGGTGCCACTGGAGGCCAGAGAAGGTGTAAAATCCTCAGGAACCAGAGTTAGAGACCATGGGTGCTGGGGACTGAAACTGTGTCCTCTGCAAGAGCAGCAAGTGCACTTAACCACTCAGCTCTCCCTCCCTCCTCCTCCTTTGGACTTACTCATTTATTTATGTGTATAAGTGCTTTGTCTGCGTGTATATATGTGTACTGTGTGTTTGCCCAGTGCCTCCGGGAGTTAGAAGAGGGCTTTGGGTTTCCTGGAACTGAGCTATAGTTGGTTGTGAGTCACCATGTGTATGCTGGGAGCCAAACCTGAAACCACTGTGAAAACAGTGCTGTAAACCACCAAGCTATCTCCACAGGCGCCCCCACACCCCACACCCTTTTTCCTTTCCCCTCGTTTTTGAGACAGGGTTTCTCTGGGTAGCCATGGCTGTCCTGTAACTTACTCTGTAGACCAGGCTGGTCTCGAACAGAGATCCACCTGTTTCTACCTCTTGAGTGCTGGGATTAGAAGTGTGTGCCAACACCACCCAGCTAACCTTCCCTTTTTAAACAGCATGCATTCTGTCAGCAATCATACCCTGTATTGTTTTGTTTCCTCCTCCTTTAACTGTGAATCTTAGATTTCAGGTACACAGGGTCACAGGAGTTTAGTGAATTTTTCATTCACATGTAATTATAAATAGTAAAGTAGTTCAACCATCATCTAAAATTTGAGACTCTTACTACAAAGTATTAAATTATTGTGATGAATTTAGAATGCTTCTGCCCTTTGATTCTTTGAAACTGTGTTTCTAGTAAAGCTCCTATATTAGGAGATTCTAATCACCATATTGGTAAGTTCCAAAAATCTGTCATGGATTAGGTTGTCTAGCTACTTGAACTGAACAAAGAGAATGAATTGTGATTACCTATGCCTGTTCTTTTAGGCATCCATTCTCATTCATACCCCCACCTTTTGCTCCTCCTACCCCCACATGTTTCCAATAATGGCATAACCAGGGCTTTGTATATTCTGGGTAAGTTCTTTGCCAATGAGCTATATTCCTAGTCCCTTGGTTTTAATAATACAGTATTACTCTTCAGCCCAGGCTGGATTTGAACTCACAATCTTCCCACTTCCACTTCCTAAGTGCTAGGATCGCAGTGTGTAACTGTATCATTATTTATTTCTAATTTGCTGATAGTCATCTGCTACCTATCTATCAATGATTTGTTCTAGTAAATAGATTTCCTGCTCCAACTAGCAACTATCCAGAAGTATAGACCACAGAGTTTAAGAGACTTCCGTAACAAAATGGCACATAAAGATGAGGCTTACACAGTCTTTATGTAGTCTCCAAAGGCATTTGTGATAGATAGGCTTCTTTCCCACTCAAGTGAAATGAATTGATTTCTACAAAGCTCTTGAAGTAGAACATCAATTTAAAGAAATAATAAACCAGAGCTCTATGACTTGGTAGTTTTGCTCCTTAATATATACAGACAACATGTATTTACCAAAAGGAATATACTAGAATGTTCATTCCTTATTACCACCCAGAATCAGAAACTGGATGCCAAAATAAATAAATAGATAAAATTTAAAAATCAGAAATTTGGGGCTTCAGTGATGGCTTGGTAGTTAAAAGCACTGTGTGCTCTTCTAGAGGACCCATGTTTGTTTCCCAGAACCCACTTGGAGGTTCACAACCATCTATGACACTGATTCCAAGGGATCTGACACCCCTGTCTGGATCAGGCACACAAGTGGTGTATATGCACATATAGCCAAAATATACATATAAATTAAATTGGAAAATGTTTTGTTTTGTTTTGTTTTTTGACACAGGGTTTTGTAGGTCTTAAGTTTATATGTTCTTGATTTTCCTTTTCTTAGAGCACACTTGTTATTCACTGTTTTGTATATAGTTTTGTGTCAAGTCTAAATCTTTCCTTTAGACTAAAAGGGGAATTGTAGTGAGATATTCACTTTGTCCACACCTGTGGCACAGACCACACCCATTGGGGGTGGAGACAGGGGCGGATGTTACCTGGGGGAACTAAGTCTGAGGAAGGAGCTCTGGGAGCTCTCTTGCCTGCAGCACAGGGACAGGAGAACATCCGGAGGCATCCTTGGGTCCAGGAACCTGCTGGTGTTCATCTGTCTATGTTGTAAATTATTTCTCCCTGAATAAACATCTGTTCAGCCTATCTGTTTCTCCCGATCCTTATTAAACCTCAATAGGGCTTCTCGGTGTAGCTTTGGAGCCTGTCCTGGAACTCTCTCTGTAGACAAGGCTGGGCTCAAACTCACAGAAATCCACCTATCTCTGCCTTCTAAGTGTTCTCTCTCTCTTCTCTCTCTCTCTCTCTCTCTCTCTCTCTCTCTCTCTCTCTCTGTGTGTGTGTGTGTGTGTGTGTGTGTGTGTGTGTGTGTGTGTGTGTGTAAAAGGGGAATTTTGTGGAGCAGGAGTAGGTACTTTTGGAATAGGAAATGTATAGAAATAAAAGTCATGTTTATCTGCTTACTATTTCTACAGAAAGAATAAAGCCAGAGACTAGTTTGACTATAGTATAGTAATGGAAAGTAGCTTGTACTTGAATATTTGTTTTCCAACAAATGTAAGTAAACTATGATTATGGTGTAGCTCAGTAGTAGAATGTTTGCATAGCTTGCTCAAGGCCTTGAGTTTGATCCATAGCACCACAAAACCAAGACAGAGCAAAACAAGGGATGAGGATGCTCATCTGTACAGGCGTGCAGACCTGTGTTGATCCCAGCATCATGGGAAAAAAGCCATGCTTGTCATTTCAGTGCTTGAGAAGCAGAAGCAGGTGTGTTCCTGGGGCACTGTAGTCAGTCACTTTAGATGAGTGACAGCAGGCCTCATGCAGCTTCAGTGATAGACTGATTCAAGAGATAAGGTGGAGAGCAGCTGAGGTGGACACCTAGTGTTGGCCTCTGGCCTCCACACACATGTGCCCACAAAGAAATACTTGTTCACATACACAGAGAGTAAACTTAAACATGAATGCAATAAGAGATGAATCGGCTGTATTTCAGTAGTAACACACTGAAGCCTAAAGAGGCCAGAGACTGATCTAAGTGGCAGATATTCATTGTTTTTGCCATATGCCTTCAGTCTAAACCAAACTCTAAACTTACTAGTAAGGCTTTATTCTCACAGTGGCATGAAGTAGCCATCCTGAAACTTGTGTGTATTCTAGAGCTGAGCAAGTGAGTATATTGGGGTAATGGGAGCCAGGTTTCTCACTGTGAGAGAACTAAGTTGTGAGAGGAGAGACTAGAACCTGAGGTGTTATATTGGCACAGCAAGCCAGTATGAAATTGTGGCTTGTTAATAATAGAGGTGTAAGTAAATGTGCATGTGTAGTTAGCCTAGGAGCAGTGATATTCTAGCAGCAAAGAACATACCTCACAGCTAGATTTGTTGCCAATATTATCTCCAATAAAGGAATAGGAATTCTTTTTTTTTATTTAATTATTGTTTTTTAATTTTTATTTCATATGCATTGGTGTTTTGCCTACCTGTATGTCTGTGTAAGGGTGTTGAATCTTCTAGAACTGGAGTTGCAGATAGTTGTGAGCTGCCATGTTGCTGTTGGAAATTGAACCAGGATCCTCTGGAAGAGCAGCCAGTGCTCTTAACCACTGAGTCATCTCTCCAACGTGGAAAAGGGGATTCTTGAAAACAGGCAGTCTCAGGACCTAGGGCAGAAAGAGCAGAAGATGAATATGGACCATTTTACTGTGCCAGGAAAGTGTACCCCAGACTGTGTGGACATTTCAGAGGGGGTCATCACAGAGTTCTACTAGCAAAACCTGAGCCTCAGAGTCCATGGAATGAACAGCATTATTTTGATGCATACTGATAGTCATCCATTTTTAAGGGAAAGTTCTTCTAAAAGTGCCACTTCTAAACGTGAGTTGAGGAGATGGCTCAGTCAGTAAAGCCAGGATCTGAGCTCAAATCCTTAGTGCCTACTTAAAAGCCAGGTGCAGTGGTATAAACCTACAATCCTGTTATTGGCAGGTTGGGAAAGTGGTATACACAGCCAGGTGAAGCCCTGAAGGTCACTGGTGCTAGCCAACCAGCCTGGCCAAGTTGATGAACTTAGGGGTTAGTGAGAGACCTTGTCTCAAAAAATAAAGGTAAAGAATGATCAAGAGGACCTGGGTTCAATTCCCAGCACCCACATGGCAGCTCACAACTGTCTATAACTCCAGAGTCCAATACCTTCACACAGACATATATGTAGACAAAACAATTCACATAAAAATAAATATCAGGTACTAGTGGTATACACCTTTAATCTAATCCCAGCACTTGGGACACAGAGGCAAGCAAATAGATCTGTGAGTTTAAGGCCAGCCTGGTCTATAGAGCCAGTTCTGGGACAGCCAGGGCTGCACAGAGAACCCTGTCTCAAAAAAAACCAAAATAAATAAATAAACATAACATTTGACAATGACCATAGTAATGATTGATGTAAACAAGGCTCATCAATGGATGCTCAGACTGGTAAAGAAAAGTGTGATGCCAGATTGGAGTTTTATGTAGCCTCCAAGTCTTCTCTTGAGTACTAATTACAAAGTGGAAATCTTTAGTATGTGGAGATCTGGCAGTTTCTTTACTAAACATTAGAGAAACACATCTCACTCGTAATGAACTAGATGAGCATTGAGTGTCTTCCAACAATGATACAGAGAAGGACTCTGCATCACACTGTGGTACTCCTGCCAGAAACGTGGAAGTTCAGTCTAATGACAGCTCACACAGCCTATGTGGAGGGTATCATCACCCAGCTCCCAGGTGATGGAAGGAGAGAACCAATTCACCAGTTGTCCTTTGACCTCCGTGTGTCCTTTGTATGAGAGGGTGTGTCTCAGGTTTTACTCCTCCATGTTCAGCTTGCATGTCCTATGAGATGGTGCATCTATGCCCCCATACATAGTCTCGTCAGAGTGTGTCTCATATTTCACTCCTCCGTGTTCAGCTTGCACCACACCAGGGACTCCAGCCTGCTGACCAGCCAACAGACTTGAGACGGAGGTGTGAAGAGGAAGCCCAGGAGATGGTCCGGCAAGCCAACTCCTCCTCAGGACATCCGTGCGTTGAAAACGAAAGTCTAACAGACTTAATTGCTAGGCTTACTGCTATTTTATTACAAATTAAGGTAAATTTCAGAGAAAATTGTTCTATGGGGTTTTTTTTAATACTAAGCACACTGCATTAATTTGTTTCTATTTATGTCTATATTTAAGCTAAAACTTAATTAAATTTCTAATCCTTTTTTCCCTATAGTGTCTAGCAGAGGGAGGAGACCTGAATTCCTTTGAATTCAAATCACTCACAGATTCATTAAATGACATCAAGAATACAATAGATGCCTCTAATATCAGGTAATTACTTAGGTACATGATGGCTATTTTATGTTAAATTCATAGTGATTTTTTTGGTAGAAGTTTTAAGAATTTTGTTTATTTATGAAGTATTTGTGTATGTGTTTATCCCTTAAATATATTTAAAAGAAAATTTCATTTATATTCATTCTGTTGACAGAACAGACATTTCACACACACACTCTGTAGGAAAGCATCAGGACACAACGTTGATTTTTTTGGTTTGTTGTAGACTTTAACAGTGTCTCCTTGGCTTTAGGAGCCCTGACACTACTTTGCTCCTAAGTATATTTTCCCACAATCACCGGAACAGATCTGTCTGATCCTTCCCTGAAGACATTTTCTAAGAAACAGCTATTTACTAACTAAAATTAAGCCTCCCTTAGGAGAAAAGAAAGAAAAAAAAAAGAAGTGCTTTTCTTGAGATCATGAGATGTCTCTGCAGGTAAAGGCATTTACTTGCCTTGCTACCCTGGCCACCTGAATTCAATCACCACAACCCACATAAAGGTGGATGGAGAGAAGCAACTTAACAGAGTTGTCTTCTGACCTCTGCATGTAAACCTGGACATGCATGCACACACAATAATAAATGAGTAAGTTTTAGGGCTGTCAAGATGGCTGAGTGGGTGGAAGTCTGGAGACATGCGTTCAGTCCCCAGAACTCAAATGAGAGAGAGAAAGATCAGACTGCACAATCATCCTCTGGCTACCACAGTTATCTCATGGCATCACATACTATAAAATAAGTTTATTTTTTGTTTTTCTTAATTTTGTGATAGTTAACCCTTTCTGCTCTTTCTTTAGTTGTTTTCAGAATAATGTAGAAATCCATGTTGCACATATCCAGAGTGGCCTGAGCCAAATGGGAAACTTACATGCCTTTTCGGCCAACAATACCAACAGAGACTGAGCACAGGAGACCTGGTACTCAACTGCACAAGACCTTGGTCTGAGGAGTCCTTCGTATTAATCTAAGCTTCCAACACCAGATAACCTATCTGCTGGAAAACACGGGAACTGTACATCTCCAGACATGGCTTTTTAATATACTGTAATGCTTCTTAAACCAGCATTGTGCTGACCAGCATTTATTTATTGTTCTTTTATTATCCAGATGCAGTAGTGTTGCTTATATTTCATGTTTATCAGCAAATATTTTTAACTTAAAACTATCTGAACATACTGTTTCATGGAGGAGCGTGCTCACCATTTTTTACACGTGCATGAATTCTGCTCAGCACATGCAAATGACTCCTGTGACAGAGAACACAAAGAAGCATGGTCTTTTCCGTGCATGATGGAATCCATCTGAAGAATCACCGGTTGGTGGATTTAGTTGATCATTATATCTCAGGCTTCAAAATGCACATCGTGAGTGTGGGAAGTGGTCCTAGTCTTAAGGAAGCCACTGGAATATGATGGGAAACACAGACTTAAGTATATGTTACATATACTGACAGTATGACATGGTTCTATAGATCAATTTATAATAATAAATATTTTAATTTATCATAATTTATAAAAATGTTGTTTATCAGTAGAAGAAAATGAAGGAGCGGCAAGAACTGTATTGTGGAATGCTGGATTTCAGCGAGTGGTCTTGGTATGCCTTTCCATGATTCAGGGCAAAAAGTGCTATTGTTAGATTTATTTAAAAAAAAAAAAAAAAAAAAAAAAAAAAGACTGATAACACACTATTTTCATATTTTTTGTTTATTTGCACAACTTTAAACCAGATTACTGGTTAAAATCCAACAGTACACAATTTATAAAGTAAAAATATTTTATAAGGAAGGCATATGACTGGTGTGAATTACAGAGGGAGGTTTTGTTTTAGTTTTTTTCTTGTTTGGTTTTGTTTTTTTCTTTTTTAAGAAAAAAAAACCTGCCTAGAATAATCTTGTAAAAAGTATGTATTTTAAAATTTTTGTTTTAATATAGATTATTATAAAGCAAAAAAATATAATTGTTTTCAGATTTGGAGTTTAAAATATAACTATAGAGGTGATTCTGATTCCTTGACGTCTCATAAAATGAGACTTTTTGTAAATTAATGTATAATATAACTGAAATAAGATTATTTTCCATTTGAAATTTTTGTATAGTTTAAAAGCGCTTCCGTGTTCTTTGTTGGTATTGGGCCACTGCAGATCTTTAGTGCAGAGTTTATATTTAGCTAAACTGTTATGTTAATTAAGAAATGCATAAATCTTTTATTCTTAATATTTGTAATTCTAAATAAATCGATCTATGAAATTTAATCTCTGCATTCTCATGTCATTAATACAAGTTGATAGTTATTTGTATTTAAAATGTTTCAGAGGGCTGGTGAGATACCTCATCAAGTGAGAAGTGCTTAGTGCCCAGCCTGGCCTTCTGAGCTTCATCTTCAGGACCCACATGGTGCCAGGACAGAACTGAGTCCTGTCATTTGTCCTCTGCCTGGAGCACACACACACAAATAAATAAAAGCAATCTGCCTTTATGTCTAGGTGTGGTGGTGCATTCCTTTAATCCCAGCACTTGGAACCCAGCAGAGCCAGTTAGGTGCATTTCTGTGAGTTCAAGACCACCCTGTTCTACATTGAGAGAATTTAATGTTTTCAAGAATTACAGATTCTACTAAGTGGTTAGGAGATACACTTCACATTGGTTACCAGGCCTTTTGTGTTGGTTTTGTTTCATATTCTCACTATGTTGCCCAAGCATGCTTTGCAGCTGAGGCTTGAGACTTAAGGCACACACCACCATGCCCAGCTCTAATCATCTTGAAAAACATCACCATCCAGTATTATATTAGGGAGAGGTGGTTTGCTTTGATTTTCATCTGTTAGTAAATCACTGTGGAAACACTAAGCAAGTAAATTATTTCTTGTAGTGTGGACCTAGCAGAAGACTGCATTTAACAATATATTCTGCATGGAAGTAGATAAATGTTTTGACATTTTTCTTTTATACTGCTTAGAGCTCCCTTGTCACACTTAAGTCAGACATCATTCTATAGCACTGTGTATCCTTCAGTGCCGTGGTGTTGATAGCAAGGTCTGTGCCTGAGAATATAGCTGAATTTATTCTTACTAAGAAAGAACTGTCTAATTCGAGCCGTCATTTTGTCTTGAATGACACTGTCACTGCTGAGCACATGTTTACAGCTTTACAGAAAGCTCCCAGGGGCAGACAGAGCCAACAGAGACCAGTTCTGAATTATTGGACACTAGCTTTTAAGTCAAATTCAATGGTCACTGAGAATGTAAAAATGGACATGCCTACTGATTTTTCTTTATTGAGCTGGCCTGGTGAGGGTTAGACCCATAATCCCAGCTACTTCGGAGGCTGAGGCAGAAGGATCACAAGTTCATGGCCAGTCTGGGCTACAGAGTGAATTCAAGACCAGCCTCGGAGCATTTGGTGTGACCCTGTCTCAGTTAAAAAGGAGGCCTTGGGGTTGCCTGGAGACAGTGCTTGCCCAGCATGTATAAGGCCCAAGGCTCAGACACAGTGTTTGCCTGCATGTATGAGTCCCTCTTTAGTTCTCGTGCAGCCAGGCTGGCCTCAAATTTGCTTATAACTGACAGTTGCCTTGAACTTTTGATCCTCCAACTTCTGCTTCCCAAGTGCTGGGATTAGGCATGGTTGCCATACCAGCTTTGAGTTCTTTCCTTGGAATCCGTCTTCACTATTACTCCACTGCTGCTGTTTGTAGCCGGGACATCACAGTCATCTCTCCACTTAGCTCTTGGCACCTAATCAGCATCTCCACGTTCAGCCAGGCATTCTTAAAATTCAGAGTTGATCATGCCATCCCTGTCTAGGAATACCTTTAAGGACTACAACCCCTGGGGCAAATTTAGAAGTCTGAGAAGACCTACAAAGTCATGCCCAGTCCAGCCTCCACCCACTGCCTCTCTATCTGGTTCCTTATCCCACAGACAGATCAATCCTAACTGATCTTACTGCAGCAGCCCTTTCCCAAGGGGGAGCTCCTTGACCACAACACACATCCAGAAGTGCTTCAGACAGTAATTCTGGTCTTCTATCTCACAACAGATTATATATGTATGTGTGTGTGCTATGAGATATATATGTGATATGTGTGTGTGTATAATATATACATACAGATCATATATATATATATATATATATATATATATACACACACACTATAGTCTATTTTATCCTTATGACACTATGAGCACTTGCCTGCTCATAGGCAGTAAGTAGTATGTGTGTGATAAATTAGCCAGTGAGTATCTCAGTGCCATTATTGTCCCTGGAATGAATGAAAGGGGCCTTCTTTTAAATGGCTTCCATTAGTCCTAACTAAAAGGGTCAGTGTGGTAAAGGAGATGTGAAGGTTAATGAGTGGGTTGAAGTCATACTACCTTTGAGTCCTGGCCATTGCTGTGTTTAAGCTTTGTGACCATGAACCATTTTTCTATTTTCTTTCTTTTTTTCTTTTTTTGTTTTGTTTTGTTTTAATGTATGATATTTTGCCTGTCTGCTCATATGTGCACCGTTGGTATGCCTGGTACCCATGGGGGCCACAAGAGGACATCAGATCTGGAACTAGAATTAAGGACAGTTAGCCACAATGAGGGTGATGGGAATCAAACTTGTTGCAATAGCAACAAGTATTCTTAACTGCTGAACCATCTCTACAGCCCCTAATTACATGATTAACTTTAAGGTGTTCTGAAACCTTTGCGTCATCCCAATTGGACTAAACTATCATCTAAATTGTCACCAGTTTTAAGTGTGAGGCTCTGATGGTAAGACCTCAAACTAGCATATCAGTATTTGGACAGATCTTAAGTTAACTTACTCATTTACATATACTGGGAATGCAAAATAGAAAGAAATATGAAACCAAACTACTCGGTAAGTGTTCCATACTTTGAACAAGCAAAGATGAGTAGGTCTGAATGAGAATGCCCCCATAGCTCATATATTTGAACACTTAGTGCCCAGTTGGCGGAGCTGTTTGGGAAGGATAGCGGTGTGGTTTTGTGGAGGATGTGTGTTACTGGCTTTGAGGCCATTCCCAGTACTCTACCTCCTTATCTTCAGATGTGAGCACTTCCTGCCATCGTGCACCCCTTCTCCACCAGACACTAACCCTCTGACACTGAAAGCCCAACTGAACACTGTTTTATGGGTTGCCCTGCTCATGGAGTTGCATCACAGCAATAGGAAAGTAATACAATAAGCTTTTTAAGTTTTTTCTTACATTTATGTACTGGTTTTAGGAGGTGTGGGGGGGTACACAGCACAGCACTCATGTGGAAGTCAGAAGCCAACTTGAGGAAATCACTTCTCTCCCTCCAACACATGAATCCTGGGGATCAAACTCAGGGCATCAGGCTTGGTGGCAAAGATGTACCCAGCCCAGCAAAAAAAGCTTTTAACTGGAATAAAGTCTCAATGCACTGTACTTGGAGAAACTTCCCTTGGAAATGTTTTCACAGCCAGTTAGTATGTGCTCAGCAACTGTGCACTTATGCATGGTGATTAAGAGCCTAGGACTCATTTCAGTGGAATTTACATGAGGGCACCAGTGAGAATCATTTAGTAATCCCCTAATGCTGTACAGGAAACATAATAACAAGTGCTAAGAAAAACAGTGGTCAAAGTAACAGGTACAAAAATTAAGATTAGTTAGAAAAAGTTTAGGTTTCAGAAAGGTAGGTGTCTGAGTTGTTTTGGAAAAAAAAAAAAAAAAAAAAAAAAAAAACTTAACAGGATAGGCTCCAAAGCAATACCCTGTCTCAAAAAAAAAAAAAAAAAAAAAAAAAAAAAAAAAAGAAAAGAAAAGAAAAAGAAATCTAAAAGGGGGGGCTCAGTGACTAAGAGCACTCACTGACTGCTCTTCCAAGGACCACCTAAGTTCAATTCCCAGCACCCACATGGCAGCTGACAACTGTCTGTAACTCCAAGATCTGACCCCCTCGAGCAGACATGCATAAAATAAAAAAAGAAAAACTTTCTTTCAATGAGTCCCAACCAGAAAGGAATGAGTGAGACAGAGAAGCACATTGTGAATAAATGATCTTAAGGTTTGCATAAGCTAAAAGATGATATTTATTGGGAGCATAATTTGATAACTGGAAGCTAACACAGACTTCCAAATAGAGTCATTTCTTTTTTGAGTAAGTGGGGAATGAGACGCTTGGAGATCCTGGAAGAACTTGAATGTAGCGTCTTTACTGATGAGTGTAAAGATGACAAGAGCAGATGGAAAGCCAGTCAAGTGGGGAGCAGGAGAGGCAGTTAGGACACCGTTTTGGTTGGGAAAAATAAGCTGAGGAAATCTATGGTAATAGCTATAATTAATAACAACATACCACATACCTAAAAATTGCTAAAATAATAGATTCAGTGTCATCGCAGAAAAAAAGAGGTGACTATGTGAGGTCATACATGTTTTACACAGCTTGATTTGGATATATATCTGTCATATATCATATAATTTTAAACAAAAATAGCAATATCCAGTCACAGTGGCACACACTAGTAATCCCAGCATTCAGAAAATACAGGTAGCAGGATAGGTGTTCAAGGTCATCCTTAGCTACAGAGCAAGAACAAAATTAAAAATACTCAGTAGAAAGAGTAATAAATCTTGATGATAATTAGAGTTGAGGATGTGGGCTAGAACTGAGTGGCTGACTCTAGGTTGTAGGTCCTGAAGGGGATATGAAGAGACAGCGGCTGTCAAGCTGGAGGCACTTATGAAGAAAACAAGTTCTGAACAATCAGTCTGAAAAATAAGGATAGCCCAGGGGGAATGGACCAATTTGAATGTGTAGACTCGGAGGTTCACAGGCACCCCTGGGCATTAGGATGGGTGGCCATAGAGAACAAGCCACCAGTAAAGGCCCTTAATGAAGAGGAGAAACCTTCACGTGAGAAATGATCCAGAACCATCATCAACAAGGCCATGGCAAGTCAGGGTTAGGGTAGTGTTCTGGTTCGAATCCCCCAGACTCCTCTGAGTGCATCCTGAATTCTCCCAGAATCCTCAAAAATTACCTAAGGCAGAGAAGATGTGCTCCTCCCATGAGTCCAACTTTGAGCCAATGTCTTCGGAGAGTGGTGGATAGGTGTCAAAACTCTGACCTTGAGAACCAGAGGCACAGATGCCTCCTCCAGCCCTGTTGGGATCAGGAAGGCAGTTCACATCTGCCTCCAGAGGCAGCTGGGGCTTCAAACATCTTGCTTCAGTCCCCGGAGCAGAGGGATGGAGCCAAGCTTCCCGCCTTGCTGATAAGGGCTGAAACCATTTCCCACTCTGGCGCCTGGACTTGGCCCGTCTATTCTGGAACCACACCTGGGAGACAGGGAGAAAACAATGTGCAACTGCTTTGAGTTGGAGTTTTGTTGCTGGTTTGGGAGGTTTTTGTTGAGATAGCATCACACTCAGGTTGTAGCCAAGGATGACCTTGAACTTCCAATTCCCCTTCCTCTACTCTCCCATTACAGGCACATAGCACCACACCTGGTTTGTGTGGTGCTGGCATAGTACCATGTGTGTTAGGCAAGCCCTCTATCCTCAGACTGGCACCGAGTTTCTTCCTTCACTTTGTTCACAACTAACAATATAAATTCCAGTTATTATTAGCCATGGCTCTCTGCTCAGAGCCTGTGGTTTACAGAAAAGCACTTGAGCTGGTTTTCGATGGTCAGGGCACTAGACCTCCTTGGCTATTCTCAGATGCAAAGCTGGAATGATGCCCGGTTCTATCCACGCTTGCTACACTTGGGTTATTTATCTGTTTTTCATTTTACACATTAAAAAATAAAAATTAAAGATGGGGTCTTGTGGATCCCAGGCTAGCCTCACGCTGGATATACAGGCAAGAGTGACATGGAGTCCCTGGTCCTTCTGCCTCTAGCTCTTAAGTGCTGGGATTTCAGGCATGTGCTACCACACTCAGCTTCTGTCTGCCCTTTATACAGGACTTTTGTAATGAGAAAAGAGGTCACAGAAGTACAGGCACCCGGAGTTCTTAGGCAATAAGGCTACTCTGCTTTGGTGACAGACATTCACATTATTTATTTAGAGTCCAGTTTTGAATGCTGGACTGCCTTATCAAAGCAATGTTTTGAATGCTGGACTCCCTTATCATTTCTTTAATGAACCTCATTTCCGTGTGTAAATCCCTTTGCTATTTCTCCATGATCACTGAAGGTGACCTGCTTAGGAAGCCTCTGATGACAACTGTTGAAAATGATAGCTGAAGCTGGGTGGTGGTAGTGTATACCTTTAATCCCAGGACTACAGGGAAACAAAGACAGGTGGAATCTCTGAGTGGAAGTCAACCTGGTATACCAGAGTGAATTCCAGGCTGACAAGGGCTACACAGAAAAAAAGGCGGGAACCGGGGGTGGGTGGGAGGTGGGGGGGTGGGAACCGTCCACACTCTCCAGGGATTAAACGAGGCTTCCTACATAAAACACTTGGGGACACAGACTAACAGTCAAGACGGCGAACTTCTCTAATGTAAGTGTGGGAGCACACAACTGTAATCCAAGCACCCAGGAAGCTGAGACAGGAGGCTGTGAATTCAAGTCCAGCCTGACTACCCAGCGTGAAGCTGTCTTAATCACACACACACACACACACACACACACACACACACACACTAGGGGGTGTCGCGCAGCTTCTCAGCAACTCTGATCTAAATTACTTTGAATGATAAACTCACTTTGCACTCGGTTTTTCAGTTAGAAGAAAGTTGCTTGCCTTAAAGGTACGTGGTGATCCAACCCTGCCCTACTACTTAAAATCAAAGTCAGAGGAAGGCTCATGATAGCACCCCTCTCGTGACTGCATCCCCCTCCTGTCTTCTTACTGGACACGGGAAAAAGGCTCAACTATTTCCCATTATCTTCCTGAGGGGTCTTTTCAAAAGGGTCAGCAAGCCTCCTAGCAGCCCAAATTATGCGTTAACAAGGTGGTTACTGACATCTATAGTAGTCTGGAATCATGAGGTTCAAGAAAGTAACTTGTCCCCTTCGAAAAATGACTCAACAAGCCTGTGACTCCCCATGACCTCCATCCACTCTTCCGCGCACCTGTAAACGCGACTCACCTGGATCCTGGACTCTGGGAGCAGCGTGAGAGAGGCCAGGCGCTCCCGCAAGTGGATGTCGGGGTACATGGTCTGGCGGAAGACGAGCTCCAGCAGTTGCAGCTGCTCCGAGCTGAACGACGTGCGCTTGCGGCGCTGCGGCGCCGACGGGGCGGCCGCACCTTTGGGGTGCTCGGGCGGATCCAGGCCGGCGGGAGTCTGCGCTGCGGCCCCAGGGCTTCGGCCTGAAAAGCATGGCGTGGCCACTGGGGCGCGGGAGTCCGGGGGCGCAGGAGGCAACCCTGCCGCGGACCGGAGCAGAGGCCCTCCGGGGTGAGCGGCCGGGAAGGAGGAGAAAGCAGCGCCCTCGGAGAACTGGAGCTGCTGGGACCCTGCTGCGGCCATGGCTCCCGGACACCTCCCACGACCCCCGCGCGCCTGCAGTTATAGCCACCCGCGGCCGGGGAGGGGGCGGCGGCGCCATCAAAGGCGTCGGAACGGCAGGACTAGTCTCCTTGGGGTGCGAGCCCGCCCCAGCCCCGCCAGACGCCGCGGGAATAATCGCTTCCGCTGACCTGGGGACGGAGGGAGGGAGGCGCGAACTTGGAGCGAAGCCGCTCCGTCCCTTCCACGCCCATTCGCCAGCCAGCCGGACCACCAATCCACATACCTAGAACAGATCTGCTTTAGAGGGGCCGCCACAAGTGCCGGCCAGGTTTAGATAGAACCATCTTTTCTTGGTCAGAAGGCCCCTCAAGAGCGCCCGGATCTCTCCGGGGCCGGGTTCTCAGGTCCCGGCACTGAGCCTGGCCTGCTGTCCGCCTGTCACCATCAAAGGCGCTGTTTACCACCCCTGCTATGTGCTAGACCTTACTCCAGGTTGGTCAAACAGCCTAGTCCTGTCCTCCTCCAAACCACCCTGACACATCCTGAAGCCGAGGGGGGGTGAAGATAAAGAAACCTCAAAGGGGACAGGCCCTCATCCTGAGCAGGGACGATGCTCCTGCCTCAAATATCTGTGACATGTCAAGAAAGATGGTGTAAGGTGGGCGGATTGAAGTTGAACCGGGTTAGCGCTCCTAGAGAGCCGCAACAGTGCTCGGAGCCGAGGAAATAAAAGCACTCCTTGAAGTTTTTGCTCCCTCTAATGCTGTTACGATTTTCTTTGTCCCCTGGGGTTCATTTGAGGTTCTCGTTTTGTTTTATGCTGATTTGTAGTTTAATTTTGACTTCTCATGCATTCATTTATTCATACAAATCTTCTCCCCCTTCCACCCACTTCCCGGTCCAGAAGTCCTCCACTGAGCTATATCCTCTGCTTTCTCTTGCCTTTTGTTTTGAAGTGTGTGTGTGTGTGTGTGTGTGTGCGCGCGCGCGCGCGCGCGCGTGCGTGTATAAAATTTTGCTAGGCACTGCTCTCCCACTGCAAGCATCTACCTCATACAACACTCTGCAAAAGCTTTGGCCAGACCCTGATTACTTAGTAGAGAGGTCAGAGGCCTGCAATGCTACAACAGAAGGGCTCAGCATGAGTGCTGCTTCTACAGTCTCAAAGGGGCTCTCTACTGAGGGAGGGGTGTTCCACAGCACAGCCCAGGACAGTTCAGGCTGCTTCTACAGTGCTAATAGGTCTCAGAAGAGAGGACATGTTCTCTTGTGTGCTGTTCATAAATACATCATGTTTACTCACATGCATGTGGGCCCCCAATGAGGCCAAGAGAGGACAATGGGTCGAAGATCCTGGATGTGAGCTGCCAGACATGGTGCTGAGAACTGGGAAAGTTGCTGAGAGTTCCAGGCTCGAGTTGTCCACCAGTCAGGTGGCAGTAGGAAAGTGTCCTGGCCTCCTGCATTCCATAGACCCTGAGAAGCCCACGCCTGCTTTTCTGTCCAATCTAATGTCTGTCAGATGCTGCTATCTCCTCCTCCTTCCTCCTTTTGCCCTTCTTCTGTTTTGTTTTGTTTTTGTTTGTATTTCAAGACAGGGTTTCTCTGTGTAGCCCTGGTTGTCCTGGAACTCACTCTGTAGGCCAGGCTGGCTTCAAACTCACAGAGATCCACCTGCCTCTGCCTCCTGAGTGCTGGGATTAAAAGTGTGCACCACCACTACCTGGCTAGCTCTCAACCTTCTTTCTTTCTTTCTTTCTTCTTCTTCTCCTCCTCCTCTTCGTTCTTCTTCTCCTTCTTCTCCTTTTTTGTTTTTGTTTTGAGACAGGACACCTGGCTGTCCTGGAATTCAATTGGTAGACCTGGCTGGCCTGGAAGTCACCGAGATCCACCTGCCTCTGCCTCCAAGTGCTGTGATTAAAGATGTGCACCACCACTGCCCGACTTACTCTGGACCTTCTTAATGCTGCAGCCCTTTATACTGTTCCTCATGTTATGGTGATCTCCAGCCATAAAATTATCTCATTGCTACTTCATAACTGTAATTTTACTACTGATATGAATATAATGTAAATATCTGATGTGCAGGAAATCTGTTATGTGACCTCTGTGAAAGGGTTATCCAACCCCCAAAAGGGGTCCAGATCCACAGGTTGAGAACCACTGGTCTAATTTCTTCCCTCAAACACACATATACTCTCTTTCTCTCTCTCTCAAACACACACACACACACACACTCACACACACACACACACACTCACAGGTACACACTCCTCCAACCATCTCTTTTTCTTTCCTGCTACCAGACTCACAGAGTCTGGAATGGGAAATCAGACTTTTATTTTTCTATGCCTCCCCCCACCCCATACATATATCAGGATCTTGTGTTAGTTAGCCTCAAACTCTCCATGTAGCCAGGGATGGCTTTGAACCTCTGATCTTTTCACCTCTATTGCTCAAAGCTGTAATTACTGGCCTTCCACACAATGCCTGATTTTATACAATGTTGGAGAGCAAACACAGGGCCGGTTGCATGCCAGGCAAGCACCAAAATGGCTAGGCTACATCTTACAGCTTTTGTTTGTTTATTTAGAGACTAGGTCTCACTATCTAGCCCAGGCTGGCCTTGAACTTGAGAACTACCTGCCTCAACCTCCTAAACAGGAAATTTCATACCTGCTTTTATTCTTTTTCTTTTCTTTTTTCTTTTTTTTTTTTTTCCCTCCCTGTGATGTTGAGGATCAAATCCAAGGCCTTGCATATGCCAACAAGGCCCTTGCCACTGGATTACATGCCCAGCCCATCACTCACTTTTAATCCATTATTTAAAATGAATTATTTAAAGGCAAAAACATTTATGGCTGTGTTTATGCATGTTCTTATATAGTAGATGTGTGTGTGTTCCCATCTTACTCTTCAAGAAATACAGTACAATCCAAACACAAGCTCAGAAACCAAAGAGATGGTGTGCCAAGCTGACCTCCAGATGTAACTCTATGGAAGCACTGGACCTAGTTACCTTGGGAGGTGACAGAAGCTGATCTCTGCCACCTAGGAGCTACTCTCTGTCGGCTGCAGCGATGGCTGCATTGCTGTACCTGAGGGATCAAGAGGTCAGCCTGGAGAGGAAGCCAAAGGTCTATGGCTATTTCCCCCAGTGGGAGCTTGCCAGCAACAGCTGAGCCTTTCCAAAGAGACTCAGGCTGCCTGCTGCCTGTAGGAATTCTCCAGCCTGCTATGTGGAAACCCTTCCAAGCTGTTTGTCCATCCCTGTCCTTTGCCACAATCTGCTTGCTTGAGAAGGGCCCTATCAGGCAGGGAAACGGACTGATGCAAACAGTGGCAGGCTGAACGCTCCTGGGAGACAGGAGTGTGCAGCTCAGCAACCCCAAGAAGTGTCAGAGATCACAGTGTGCAGTTTGTGATCTGACTGTCCTCCAAAGGGACCAACAGGCATCATTTTCTTATGGCCATTTCCCCTCAGATTTGCCCCATATCTAAATCTGTATTGAACAAGAACTCAGCTCCTCCCATTCTCTCCTTTTGCTCTGAATTTGGCTTCCTTTTTGTTTTTCTTATATCTGACCCCCACCCCGTATGTGTGTGTGTGTGTGTGTGTGTGTGTGTGTGTGTGTGTGTGTGTATGGGCACACATATGAATTGTCACAGGACAGTTTGTAGGATGTGCTTCTATCTTTCTATCCTTCTTCTATGTAAGCCCAGAGATAAAACTCAGCCATCAGGCTTGGTCAAGCTCAGCACTTTGACCTGCTGAGCATCTCTCTGGCTTTGAACTGAGGTTTTCTTGCATGTGCTTGGATGTGCCTAAAATATAGACTTTGTGCAGATACAGAGAAGGTTCGGGTTGGACCTGGAAGTGATAGAAGGAAAAACTCTCGGGCAGGCACAATGGTACACACCTTTAATAACAACACTCAGGAGGTCAAGGGGGGAGGATTTCTGTGAGTCTGAGGTCAGTCGGATTTATGTAGTGAATTTCAGGACAGCCAGAGCTATATCATAGAGAGACCCCATTTAAAGAAAAGGAGAGAGAGGGAAAGAGAGAGCGAGTGAGCGCTTTTTATGCCCTTCAGCATTGCTTCAGTATTATTTTAAATCATGTATGTTTGCAAAAGTCAGCTGTGGTGTTGTCCCAGTACTTGGAAGGTTGAGGCAGGAGGATCAAACCAATTCCTACCTGATCTACATAGGGAATTCCAGGCCAGTCGGGGCTACATAACAAGACCATGCCTCAAAAAACAAAAATAAATAAATATGTTTGGGAGTGCATTTTTAAGCCATTTGGGAATTCTTGTCTTATTGTTATTTTTTGAGACAGGGTATTGCCATGCAATCCAGGCTGGCCTGGAATTTTTGATCATCCTGACTCAGCTTTCATTCTTTCTTCTTTGTATTTATTCTTTTATTTTTTGAGGTAGAGTTTCTCTGTCTAATAGTACTAGCTGTCCTGAATCTTGCTCTGTAGACCAGGCTGGCCTCAAACTCACAGAGATCGGCCTGCCTCTGCCTCCTGAGTGCTGGGATTAAACTCCTGTGCCACTACCACCTGGCCTGATTCACCTTTCTTATGCTGGGAATACAGCAAGGCAGCCTCAAATTTTAGATGAACAACTGTAGTATAGTATTCTGGATTGCATCCTGGAAAAGGAAAAGGCTATAAATGAAGACTTAGACAACATTTGATTTAACAAGACCAACACTGGAGGGTGCCTAAGGCCCTGGATTTGGTTCCCAAAGATCAAAACAAAGACAAACAAAAAACTTTACTTTTACAAAACTGAAACAAAGGCTGCAAGGTGATATGTCTGTACAGAGATGTCTGGGTTTTCCCTTGTCCATGGACAAGGGTTGGAGGACAGCAGCCACTGCAGGGAATCTGCAAAAGCTCCTCTGTGCACATTCATACGCAATGAAAGTAATTGCTCTTTTTTCTGGGATGTTTCATGAAGACTGTAGGAGGGCTGACAAAATCGCTCACTGGGCAAAGACACTTGCCACTAAGGCTAATGACCTAAGACTGACCCCAGCACCCACAGAAGGGTTAGAGAAGAGAAGCAACTTCACACAGTTGTCCTCTAACCTCCACATAAGCACCATGGCACAAAGATCCCCCCAAA